CTGATTTTCTGAATTTCTGAATTTCTGAATTTCTGAATTTCTGAATTTCTGAATTTCTGAATTTCTGAATTTCTGAATTTCTGAATTTCTGAATTTCTGAATTTCTGAATTTCTGAATTTCTGAATTTCTGAATTTCTGAATTTCTGAATTTCTGAATTTCTGAATTTCTGAATTTCTGAATTTCTGAATTTCCGAATTTCTGAATTTCTGAATTTCTGAATTTCTGAATTTCTGAATTTCTGAATTTCTGAATTTCTGATTTTCTGAATTTCTGAATCTCTGAATTTCTGAATTTCTGAATTTCTGAATTTCTGAATTTCTGAATTTCTCAATTTCTGAATTTCTGAATTTCTGAATTTCTGCATTTCTCAATTTCTGAATTTCTGAATTTCTGAATTTCTGAATTTCTGAACTTCCGAATTTCTGAATTTCTGAATTTCTCAGTTTCTGAATTTCTGAATTTCTGAATTTCTGAATTTCTGAATTTCTGAATTTCTGAATTTCTGAATTTCCGAATTTCTGAATTTCTGAATTTCTGAATTTCTGAATTTCTGAATTTCTGATTTTCTGAATTTCTGATTTTCTGAATTTCTGAATTTCTGAATTTCTGAATTTCTGAATTTCTGAATTTCTGAATTTCTGAATTTCTGAATTTCTGAATTTCTGAATTTCTGAATTTCTGAATTTCTGAATTTCTGAATTTCTGAATTTCTGAATTTCTGAATTTCTGAATTTCTGAATTTCTGAATTTCTGAATTTCTGAATTTCTGAATTTCTGAATTTCTGAATTTCTGAATTTCTGATTTTCTGAAATTTCTGAATTTCTGAATTTCTGAATTTCTGAATTTCTGAATTTCTGAATTTCTGAATTTCTGAATTTCTGAATTTCTGAATTTCTGAATTTCTGAATTTCTGAATTTCTGAATTTCTAAATTTCTAAATTTCTAAATTTCTGATTTTGCGAATTTCTGATTTTGCGAATTTCTGAATTATATTTCTGAATTATATTTTTGACTTTACGATTTTTAAGATTTTTCGATATATTCTGTGCTTCTTAAATCCTTCCAAAATGCTTTAATCCTTGGACTTTTTCCCAATTTTCAGATGTCAACTGATGATCCAAATTTTCTGCAAGTGTACAAATCTTGTATACTTCTCGATGTCCTCACCAATCAACCATTTTCAAAATCCTACGTAAATTTTAAAAACGTTCATGGTCCAATCGACATGGTTTTCGAGGAATTCAAATTCTGGTTTGAGTGGTTTTCTGTGGGAAATTCTGAAATGGCTCCCGGTTTTCTCCAAATGTCATTTTCCAAAATATCCGGCCACCTTCCACGCTTTTGGTCTCGAAGCCAGGAGAGGATTCAAAAAATGGCAGAGTCTCTGAAAAATACCAAAACTCGAAAAGATTCTGTCATTATTTATCTGTTTTTGCAACGAAAAAGTCTGGAAGAAATCGAAGGGATCATTCAAAAATGGCTGGGATTGGATTTCATTGAATATACCGAGCTCGAGTATCGATTTTACAAATTTTATGCCCGGAAGAAGGAGCTGGACCAGATTGGAGGGTAATTTTTGAACTTGAAAAACTATTGAATGGTCTAAAAGTTTTCAGTGTGTTGCCAAAACTAATTTTCATGGAATTTTTGGCCATTGAGGAGAAGTAAGTATATAGATTTGTTTTTTTTCTGAAAATTTCTGATTTTCAGACCCAAAAAAATTTGTCTCACGGACTACGGAGACCAGGTGGTGTCGAAAAAACTTGTGAGATATTTCAGTTTGGAGGAAACGTAAGTGGAGTTTTTTTTCAGATTTTTAGAATTCTAAAATTTTATTATTTTGCATTTTTTGGATTTTTGGATTCTCAGAATTAGATGAAATGCTCAGTTTCCTGGAAGTTTCAAATTTTTGGTAAACCGGTCGGTTCCGAAATTAGGGACCCAGAATCCGGAATCCGGAATCCGGAGAATCCCGAATTCGGACCCAGAAATCCGGAATCCAGGAATCCGAAAAAAAAGCAATTTATCAGTTGACAACTTTTTCATTTCTTTATCAGTGGCCCTTGTATTACAGGTTCTGAAACATCAAAATTTCAGTTTCCGCTTCCATCTGGTCTGCTCCAACGCTCGTAAGCTCGTCAGTATGGGCACGAAAAAGTTCCAAAAAATCGAATTCCGTCAGAAATCTGCGAATTGCACTTTGAAACTAGATGATTTCTTGATCTCCTATGAAAACTACCTGGATTATGCTAACAATCAATTTCCAAACAAAAGAATCTTAAATACAAAACTCGATGATCGTGGAAACATGTATTTGGATGCAGCTGACGGAGTTCTAGGGATTCTGAGGAGCTCTGAACTTCGAATTCATCATCTGCTTCTAAATTTCTCGGGAGGGACCAATGCAATCGAGGCAAACCGAGTATTAGGAGAGAAACTTTCAACATACTCGCAAGACTCCAAAATTCGAGTCGATCAACTTTCGATAACCACATTCTCTCCGGAAATGCTCAAACCAATTTTTGAATATCTGAAACCAGGAGATCTGAAAAAAGTCCATCTGGAAATTCAAAAGTGTGGACGATCGGATTTCTATGAGACGAAACAATGGAAGTCCGCCAAACAGGCAAATTTGATTTTATCGAATTTGGAAGGATTTGAAAATGTGGAGGATTTTGAGAAAATTGAAATTTCTTTATTGTGGAGAAACTTTGAAGACGTAAAAGTGGAGCACTTGATTGGGGTGAGCGATTATTTGAATTTCAAAACTTCCTTGGCATCCTGAAACTGTGAAAATTGACAATATTCAATTATCCATGTTGAATTCAGTTTTCTCACATTCCGCGCTTCAAAATGAGCCTAAACTCGACTAAACTCCGCCCACTTTGAAATTTCACCTGGACACGCGTCGCACGACCGCAACGCGTCTGGAAAATCAAAGTGCGCGGAGCCTAGGCGTGTTTGGGCTCGTTTTCAAGCTCTCGTTGTGGGGATTTTAATGAAAATATGGAAATCCTAGTTTTTGGACTTTTTCCAGACCCTCAATTCTATATCTGCCGCTGAAACGTTCACTATCACAATCTACTCAAAATTCGACTATGATTTATGGATAATATTGGATACCGTAATCCCGGAATTTGGAATTTGGAGAAGAGAAAATTCTGGAAACACACTAAATGTCCATTTTCTGGGGAAATCGGTGTTTTTTATGGCTTGAAACTCTTTTTTTGTTATTATGTACATTTTGGAAAATCCCAAAAAACTTGTGAATAAATTTGATATATTTTTTCCAGATGATTTTTTTTTCAGGATTAAAAAGGAATCTCAAAATTAAAGGAGCATATCCTGGAACATTTCGAAATACCGTAAACACTCTAATAGAACGTCACCCCTAACTTTCAACTTTGAGTCGACATATCTCATTTCTTGTGAAAGATATCAAAAAGTAGTCAACTGATAAAATATTTATCATAATATCAAAAGTGCCTTGTCAGTTAACTACGTTCTGTTATCTTTCACAGAAACTGAGATAAATTGGTTCTTTGCAAGCTAGGGGTGGCGTTCTATTAGAGTGTTTACGGTACCTGGTTTTTTTCGACCCCTTTTTCAAATTACCACCTACATACCATTTTCTCTTCCCTCCTTTCCAAAAATCTCACCGACTTCACTAGCCACATGGCTTTCCACCCGCGAAATATGACTCTTTTCCCTATGTTATGCTCCGTTTCTCTTGCTAATTGGCACGAGAGAGGACAGATGACTTTGTATGGTCCACTGGTCCACCTACTCATTATTTTCAGTCAAGGTGTACTCTTTTCTGCTGAGGTCATGATCATGAGTTTTTAGAGTTTTTGGAATTCTAAGAATCTCAATTTAAATCTTTATATCTTACAAGTTTAACAAATTAAATACCTCGTTTTTTGAATTTTCTCTATTTTCCAGAATGTCTGAAGAATCTCCAACACCTTCAGGTCAAAAAACACTTTTTGACGTCCCAAATAAGGCGATGATCAAGATATTGGGAAAATTGGGAATCGAGCAGCAGTGAGTTTTCGAAATTCCTCAATTTTTAGAGTGTTGGGTTGTTTTAAATTTCATAAAATTTTCATTTTCTAATCTACAGTAGTACCTGTATTAGAAGGGCTGGAATATCTACTGGTCCAAGGTACCTCCGAGAGGCGTTTCAATAAGAAGTGCCCTTCTACTGCAGGTTTTAAAAAGTAAATACCTCCCTCGCTGTCAACTTAGAGCTATATTATCTCGGTTCCTATGAGAGATATCAAAACTCTGCCAACTGATAAAACATTCGTGATATCATGATAAACAATTTATCAGTTGACAACTGTTTGAAACCTCATTCAAGAACCGAGATAAATTGGCTCAAAGTTAAAAGTTGGGGGGCTCTTCTATTACAGGTCTTATTGTAGCTGTGATTTTCTGAGTATTATACAGTTTTGAATTTAGCAAAGAACTTTGAGTTCCTTGAAAATCCCAAAATCGTCGAATGCTTCCAGATTCCGTCTCCGCCAAGTGTGCACCCATTTCCGTGACAATCTCCCCCTCCAAATCGAATTCCTCAAAATCATCTTCTGCCCGTCCTACGCTATGATGCACATTCACACCCGCTCCGGACACCGGACCATTTTCGAATACAAAGATTTCGAAGAGCCCAACCGACCGTCTACCTACATCCGGAAGGTTCCAAACAAGACCTGGTCGCATTTGGGCTACGGTAGCCCTGCAATCCATGTGGCAAGTTTCCTTGGTCGTTTGCTAATGAACCCCAATTTGTACCTGGCTGGTTTCGATGTCGATTTTTCAAGATGCACTGAGAAGAATCCGTTTCAAGATTGCTTTCCAGCAATTTCGGAGATGTTGGGACTTCTACAAAATCAAATTTCCATTGGACGACAAGCGCCTTTAACAGTACAGTACCTCTGTTTGGAATCCACTCCAAATTCGTTGGTGCCAGCGTTTGTGAATTGCTTTAACGTTAGGGAATTTGACTTGAATTATGAGGAAAGTCTCTTGGAAATTGAGGAATTAATGGGGACACAGGCTTGGAAGGGGATGAAGGAGGTGACGATGGGAAAGATGAAAAAGCTGCCGGCGATTCATCATTTTTGGCAATTGAAGAATTTGAATTTGACGCTGGATCAGATCTCGGTTCAGGAGCTGTGGGGAATGAGAGAGGTTCGCTTTTTTGGATGTTTTTTTGAATGTTTTTATTTCAGTCATTCGCTCGCTCGCCAACTCTCCAACAAATCAAGCTATTCAGTCAATCCGTCACCGTTGCCAAGCTATCCGAAGCATTCGGAACCCAACCGGACCCAGACAGCAGTTCTGGAATTTCCAGTCTGTGGTTTTTCCCAATTCCAAACACCCAACACACCATTCTTATCACTCTCATGAAATCTGATCAATTTCCAGAGGATGAGCTCGTTTTTAAGAGACTTAATTGATTTAATTAGTTGGGCAATTATATAATAAACTTTATCTGAATAACTATTCTGTGATTTATTTTTGATACAAAATTTTGATCTTAGCGAGGATTTTTCTTAGTGAGAACTTTTCTTAGTGAAAATCTATCTTAGTGACAATGTTTCTCAGTGAGAATTTTTCTTAGTGAGAATCTTTCTTAGTAAGAATGTTTCTTAGTGAGAACTTTTCTTAGTGAGGAACTTTCTTAATAAGGATCTTTCTCAATAAAAATTTTTCTTATTGAGAAATTTTCTTAGTGAGGATGTTTCTTAGTGAGAAGCTCCCTTACAATTGATTGTGATTATTTCTCGATTTCTATTTCTTTGTCGGTAATTCAAAAAATCTGAAAATGGAGATCCAAGAAAGGTTTTTGTTAATGTTCTTATAATATTTTATTCGGATTTTCAAATTAAAAAATACTTAATTACCCTTAATTACTTTATAAATTATTTCCCGGCAGCACACGGTGGCTGAGTGCTCACCGAGCACCGATTACAAGTCCGTCTACAGTTTTGATTCACAAATTGTTCCATTCCAATGGTATGACATATGGATGGATCATTTTCACAGCCAGGAACCGCGTCGATGCAACCATTTAGGTCACAGAATCCACATCTGGCTGGGCAGTCTTCAGCTAGAATCTGACGCCAAACGGGAGACTGACATTGGGCTCTGGTGATGGTATTACAGTCGATTCGGGGGTCTGAAGGATTCTTGTGAAAACTCAAATTCTCGATTTCTAATAAAAAACCTACAAATCAAATTCTTGCACATGAACGCACTGGTCCTACAACACAGTCCACAAGTTCTGGGACACGTGGCAACCGCAGTTGCCTGCGCATCCCGATAAATTGCCGCCGGAGTAGCTGTATCCAGTGTATAACACATCAAAGGTCTCTGATAATCCATTCCTTCTTCTGGATACGGTATATCTGGGCTTGTCGGTGGGTAGGCAACTCTACAGTAAGAATCGGAGACCACATTTTGACAGTTGACGGCTTCTGGGGCGTATACGACCTGCAAAATGGGCACAGTATGCTAGTGACGGTTTTTTCCAGACTCGCCGATGTTCCATTGAACATTGTACAATTCAAATCATTATACAATCCGATATAGGCGGAAGATTTTGGAGCTAGAAAAGCTAGGAAAAATAGGGAAATCATTTTTTTTTGAAGTTCTATAACACCTTGAAGCACTTTTTATAGGATTAAAGACTATTGTTTGTACAGATTGTTCAATTCGAAAAGTTTAATTTGAAATTAATTTATGATTTCGATATTAGAGTTTGGGGGAGTAGTAGCCAGTTGAATAAATAATTGAAAAAGTTAACCAAGTTCGTAAAGCTGGGAAAAATTTAGAATTTGAAAAAATTTGGGGATTTTCAAAGTTTGCAAAATTCGAAAACTCTGAAATTCAGAAGGGTCGGAATTCCGTAATATTCTAAGGATCCTGAAATTTGTAATAAAAACATTCTGAAATTCTGAAATTCTTAAGTTTTTAAATTCTGAAGTCTTAAAAATCGAAAACTCAGAAACTGAAAAAGAATCTTTTGAATTCAGAAATTCAAAAACTCCCTATCATCTAAATGACGATTATCAACTACTGTTAGGTCATCAGATGAGTCATCCACGTCTTCTACAGTAACCCAAAAGGATACTACAGTAACACCTTGTACTGTCTGTGGTGACGTGGCAAATGAGAAAAGATACGGTACATGGGCATGTCTAGGGTGTATCGTGTTCTTTCGGAGGATCGTTTTGAGGAAAATGAAGTATAAATGTCAAAGAGAGGAAAGATGTGATGTTACTGTAGGTCAGTTGGTTTTTTTGGGTTACTGTAGGAGCATTTGGGTTACTGTAGTCATTTCAGAAACCAGATGTGTTTGTCGATCGTGTAGGAGGAAAAAATGTCTAACTGCTAGAACGAATCCGGATGGTAAGAAGTCAGAAATTCAGAAATTCAGAAATTTCATGATTTCAGAAATATTTCAGAAGTTCAAAATCTCAGAATTTCGAAATCTCGGAATTTCAGAGATTTTCAGATTTTCAGCAAATCATTAGATTCGATACCGAGAAATTCTGAAATTTTTTGTCTGAATATTGAAATCGATATACAATTTTTGAAAATCTATTTGAAAGATTCAAAAATCAAAACGAATAATTTATTAAATCAATCAACAAGAACATTTCTAACACAATGCTCAAAATTCCTAACATCAAATAAATCACTAATTTTCGTTAAATTATAAAAACTCTTAATTGTACATCTAATTGAGCTAATCAACAAAATTATCTCTCCAAATTTTTCAGGACCATTTTCAGCATCTTTAGAGGTCAAGTGATCCATTAGGAGTTGCAAAAAGTGGTTCCGAAGATGATTATCATTATTGGAAGAAGCTGAAATTTTGAATTTCAGAAATTCAGAATTTTTAGATAACAAACTTTTACTCACAAGTTAAGAACATCAAAATTTTCAAAATCGCAATTTCTGTACCTTCAATTTCCAACTTCTTAATTGGCTCGCTAATTGTGTCAATTAGCTGGGTGACAAAATCAAAATGAGATCTGAAAAATAGGTTTTAACAATTCTTTTTTAATTAAAAATCCTCACTTTTCTTTCTCCAAATTTTCCAAATTTTCGTCCATTTCCTCAAATTTGAAATCTGGGTGTAATCCCAAAAAACTGTCATTTTGAAGAATCCAAAATCCCGGATCTGCATCATTTTTAGTTCTTACGGCTTGGTCCAAAATCATGAATCCAATTGAGAATTCTCTTAAAACTTTTATCCGATTTTCTTCGGAAAGCTCTCGAAAAAATTGGAATTGAGAAGCAAAGGAATTTGAATCTTGGATAGCTAATTTTAGTGATAAGTTGATATCTGACGACGTGGCACGACGATGATAGGTATTCTGAAATTTGAAGAATGTGTTTTTAATTTCTAAAATTTTTTTTGAAAACCTTCATAAAAACACATCCATCTGAAAATTTTTCCTCCTCTTCCACATGGTTTTTATGATTTTCCCATTGATCTTTTTGAAGGTCCACAAAAACGTTTAGGTCCAAATTTTGGTCTGTAACAAGAAGTTTAATACATTTCTTACAAAACACAGTAGCCCACCTTGATACCTTATATATTGGTCCCCCTTAAAGGTATCAAAATTGTGTCAACTGATAAAATATTGCTGATATTATGATAAAAAAATGTATCAGTTGAAAACTTTTTGATATCTTTTAAAGATATAAGGTCTCGAAGTTTTCGGTGATATAAGGTCTCGAATTTGACGGAAAAAATTACCCAAATTCTCCGTATGAGTTGGAGGAAAGAATTCTGAAGGCGTCGAGGGATTAGATGGTAGCAATGGAGTCAGCGGGGAGGCGGATGAGCGATTTTGGCTTACTGTACTTCCACTTTTTGGTTTTCGAGGTCCGATGACGTCACGGATTTGAATGGCTGAAAATTTAGAATTAATTTCTGAATTTCTGAATTTCTGAATTTCTGAATTTCTGAATTTCTGAATTTCTGAATTTCTGAATTTCTGAATTTCTGAATTTCTGAATTTCTGAATTTCTGAATTTCTGAATTTCTGAATTTCTGAATTTCTGAATTTCTGATTTTCTGAAATTTCTGAATTTCTGAATTTCTGAATTTCTGAATTTCTGAATTTCTGAATTTCTGAATTTCTGAATTTCTGAATTTCTGAATTTCTGAATTTCTGAATTTCTGAATTTCTGAATTTCTGACTTCTTACCATCAGGATTCATTCCAGCAGCAAGACATTTTTCCATCCTACACGATCGACAAACACATCTGGTTTCTGAAATAACTACAGTAACCCAAATGCTCCTACAGTAACCCAAAAAAACCAACTCACCTACAGTAACCTCACATCTTTCCTCTCTTTGACATTTATACTTCATTTTCCTCAAAACGGTCCTCCGAAAGAACACGATACACCCTAGACATGCCCATGTACCGTATCTTTTACCATTCGCTACGTCACCACATACAGTACAAAGGGGTACTGTGTTATCTTTTTGGGTTACTGTAGAAGACGTGGATGGCTCATCTGATGACATAACAAGATAGTAGTAGTTGAGAATCGTCATTTAGATGATAGGGAAATAAATAAATAATAATAACAAAAAAATAAACGAATTTCGAAGGGTTTTAAACAGACGAAATTGGCAGGTGTGCAAATATCAATTTTTGGGAGTACGGTCAGTTTTTGATTTTTACGAGGATTGTGTTTTTTGTGGGTGGGCAATGATGTTTTTGGGTTCAAACTAGAGATACCTGTAAAAGAAGGGCCCCACACTGTGAAGTTTTAGCTCAATTATATCGGTTCTTGTGAAAGATATCTAAACTCGGTCACCTGATAAAATATAGCTGATATTGTGATGAACATTTTATCAGTTGACAACTTTTCAATATCATTTACAGGAACAGAGTTGAATTGAATCCAAGTTAAAAGATAAAGCGGGCGTTTTAAAATTGGAAATTGAAATTCTAAAAATCTTGAAAGTCTTGGCTTATTTTGAAATTGGAATCAATTTTTTCAGTGCTAATTGGATTCTAGAGTGGGAAATTAGAAATTTCAGAATCTGAAACTTCTAAAAGGATATTAGAAATCTAAGATTCAAAACTTGGATTTTGAGCTTCGTTTAGAATCAGATTTTTCAGATTCTAACCTTTCAAAGAAAAAAAAAGTTAAAGAATTTAAAAAGGTTCTGGAGGTGGGCTTCTATTTGACGACATACGGTAAATTCAGAAAATCAGAAGTTCAGAAATTCAGAAACTTTTTCTAAATTATTCAGCCATTTAAATCCGTGACGTCATCGGACCTCGAAGACCAAAATTCGAAAGTACAGTAAGCCAAAATCGCTTATCCGCTTTTCTGTTAACCTTATTTCTACCATCGAATCCGTCGACGCCTTCAGAATTCTTTCCTCCAACTCATCCGGAAAATTTGGGTAATTTTATCCGCCAACTTCAAGACCTTATATCTCAGCTCTTTTGAAAGATACCAAAAAGTTTTCTGAACTGATAATTTATTTATCATATTATCACAAACATTTTATCAGTTAACACATTTTAGATATCTCCCAGAGGAACCGAGATAATTGAGCTCAAAGTTGACGGTTTCGGTGGGCTTCTATTTGACGAAATATGGTATGTTTCAATTTCATTTATCGAAAATAATTGAACTTTTGAGATTCGGTTTTTTTGTCTGTAAGTCAATAAGTCTATGACTCTGATACTGAGGATTTTCGGGTTTCTTGCTATTCTAAAAATTATCCAGATTATTATAATTTCAAAGTTGTTTGGGATTCTTGAATTCCCAAAAAGTTTCAAGGTTTTCAGGATCCTAGGGAAGTTACAGTACCTGGAAAGTGTTAAGTTTCTTTAGATCATTCTGAGCAAGATCATTCTGAGCATTTCCAAGTTTTTTTTCCAATATTTGCCTCTATGTAGCATTTCTGCATACTTAATAAGCTTATCCATTCTATAATCTCTAAAAAATGCTGTGTAGGCGTACTCTGACCACCGGATGTCCTAAAAATAAGCGTTTATTTGTTCAGATTCAATTTAGATTCAATTCAGATTCCAAACTAGATTTAATCCTTGTTTCTATCCCATATACTTCCGATTGATACTGGTGTTCACACGCCCGCGCGTAAAAACAACAATTTCAATTACATGTTGTTTCCGCTTTTTGATCTTATGTCATTTTTATTTGTTCATCTGTCCCGACATCGCAGATCACAGAGTAAAATTCTTCTAGCTCTTTGTGGGTCAAGTCTGAATTTCAGAATTTCAGACTTCAGAATTTCTTACCATCAGGATTCATTCTAGACATTTTGCTGAAACTTTGAAAATCTGAAAATCTGAATTACTTAATCCTGAAATTCGGAAATTCTCAAATGCCGAGATCCTGAAATTCCGAGATTTTGAACTTTTGAATGAAAATCTATATAGTTCTGAAATTCTGTTTTTTGAATTTCTGAATTTTTGACTTATTACCATCAGGATTCCTTCCAGCAGCTAGACATTTTTCCAAACCTACACGACCGGCAAACAAATCTGGTTTTTGAAAACCACAGTAATCCAAATGCTCCTACAGTAACTCAAAAAAAACCAACTCATTTACAGCAATCTCACATCTTCCATCTCTTTGACATTTATACTTCATTTTCCTCAAAACGGTCCTCCGAAAGAACACGATACACCCTAGACATGCCCATGTACCGTATCTTTTCCCATTTGCCACGTCACCACAGACAGTACAAGGTGTTACTGTAGTATCCTTTTGGGTTACTGTAGAAGACGTGGAAGGCTTATCTGATGACATAACAAAATAGTAGTAGTTGAGAATTGTCATTTAGAAGAAAAATTTTACAAAAACCTGAACTTCTTCAATTAGCTTCAATCAGTCCAAAAATGGTTAAATTTTATTTTTTTTCAAATTTAAAAGTTTCAAAACAAGAATAAAGAATCAAGAATCATTACCGTATCTGCTCTAATATGAGCTCAATCTATATATTTCCTTTGAGGCCTATTATCTCGGCTCCTTTTAATTTTAATTGAGACCAATTAACCAATTCATCCAAATCACAAAAATCCCAGATCACAAAATCGTGGGCTCAATTTTTTTTTCATTTTTTCTATTTGTCAATTTCAAGCCATCTGTCTAAATATCACAATTTTTCGATTGTATAATTTTATGAGGGCGGTTTTGAACGTTTTACATTTTTTGTGTATTTTAGTTTAATCTGATGTTCAAGCTTTCAGATTTTCAGACTTTAAAATTTATTGAAAAATTCCGAAAATCTTAAAATTGTTATAATTTCTTTCCAGATTCTTCTACTGAAATTATGCTCAAATCCAAAGGTTCGATTCCGTGTTTTTCGCGATCCAAACGGGCGCTGGTGACAGGCGAAATCTGGAATTTAACATCTTAAAATAGTTAAAACATAGCTGGAAATCGTTTAAAATTAGCTCAAAATGGAAAGATCTTGAAATAGGATCTTTAACTTGGAATCCATTTATATTAATTCCTTTGAAAGATATCAAAAGGTTTCCAACTGATAAAATTTTTATCATAATATCACCAACATTTTATCAGTTGACACAATTTTGGTACCTTTTAGGGGGACCAAGATATAAGGTCTCAAAGTGGGCTACGGTATTTTGTAAGAAATTTCTTAAACTTTTTGTTTCAGACCAAAATTTGAACATAAAAACTTCTTGGACCTTCAAAAAAATCAATGGGAAAGCTATAAAAACCATGTGGAAGAGGAGGAAAAATTTTCAGATGGATGTGTTTTTATGAAGGTTTTTCAAAAATTTTAGAAATTAAAAACACATTCTTCAAATTTCAGAATATCTTCTATTGTCGTGCCACGTCTTGAGATATCAATTTATCACTGAAAGAATTCTTTCCTCCAACTCATCCGAAAAATTTGGGTAAATTTATCCGCCAACTTCGAGACCTTATATCACGGCTCTTTTGAAAGATATCAAAAAGTTTTCAACTGATAAAATTTTTATCATAATATCATCACCATGTTATCAGTTGACAGTGTTTTACCATCTCTTATAGGAACCGAGATAATTGAGCTCAAAGTATACGATTTGGATGGGCTTCTATTAGAGGAATAACGGCAGCTCAAAATAGCCAACAAAGACCTAACACAGGTCCGAAATTTGTCTAAAATTGCTCAAAATCAGTCTAAAAAATCTGAAAACCCAAAAACCTTTTAATTCCGTACCTGTGACGCTTGCACATCATCATATTTTGTGATGACAGTCATTTCCTCCGGATCGAACCATGAATACGCCATCGGATAGCTTCTTCCGACAATCTCATTAACTTGAAGTCCCATTTTTGAGAATACATGGTCTCTTCGGAAGCCCGCAGCAGTTCCCTGGCTTCTAGAACCTTCTCCGACCAGAATCATCTTCTCCCGAGCCGTTTTATGGATCAGCGCGTCCCATGGTAGGAGTCTGGAAAGAATTTGTTTTGAAAACGTTCTTAACATTTGTTCACCTACCGTATCCCATTAGAATCATCCTCTTGTTCTGCCACGTCATCGTATACCATTGCTCGACTGGCTTCTACGCACTCTTTGGCGATTTCTCGGAACTTGTCACGATGCTCTTTGTAGAGTACCGAAGCTTCTGGATTTATGCATTTGTCAGAATCCACGTCATAGGAGTTAAAGGATCTCTGGAAGACTTTAGAAGGTTCTAGAACGTTTTTCAATCTCGCTTACCTGTAAAACAATTAAAACTCTACTTAGACTGTGTTTTTCCGATTTCCATCCATCTGGAAACGAGCGTTTCAGACATAGTTCTTTGGATTTTATACAGATCAACGGATGAAAAATCGTCTGATTGAAAATCACTTTTGGAAGTTCAGAACTCTCTGGAAATTCCAATGGAATCTCGATATTGAAACGAAAAATTCCGCCGCCGAAAATGCCTTTCCGCACGAAAATCACACCGAACCAAGCTGAAAATTTCGTTTGTCTGAAAATTTCAAAATTTTCGAAACTCACCAAATTTGTTTTTGGCACTTGGAGACACGAAAATTCCTTCGATTGGATTTCGACAAACTTCCACACTGAAATTCAAAAATTCAAAAATTCAAAAATTCAAAAATTCAAAAATTCAAAAATTCAGAAATTCAGAAATTCAGAAATTCAGAAATTCAGAAATTCAGAAATTCAGAAATTCAGAAATTCAGAAATTCAGAAATTCAGAAATTCAGAAATTCAGAAATTCAGAAATTCAGAAATTCAGAAATTCAGAAATTCAGAAATTCAGAAATTCAGAAATTCAGAAATTCAGAAATTCAGAAATTCAGAAATTCAGAAATTCAGAAATTCAGAAATTCAGAAATTCAGAAATTCAGAAATTCAGAAATTCAGAAGTTCGGAAATTCAGAAGTTCGGAAATTCAGAAATTCAGAAATTCAGAAATTAAGAAATTCAGAAATTCAGAAATTCAGAAGTTCAGAAATTCAGAAAATCAGAAATTCAGAAATTCAGAAATTCAGAAATTCAGAAATTCAGAAATTCAGAAATTCAGAAATTCAGAAATTCAGAAATTCAGAAATTCAGAAATTCAGAAATTCAGAAATTCAGAAATTCAGAAATTCAGAAATTCAGAAATTCAGAAATTCAGAATATTCGTAAAACCTGTAATAAGAGGGCCCCACTATGTTGAGTTTGAGTTCCATTATCTCGGTTCCCATGACAGATATCAAAAATGTGCCAACTGATAAAGTGTATCTGATAATATGATAAACAATTAATCAGTTGGCTCAAAATTGAAAGATAATTAACTCTTCTATTACAGGTGTAATATTATGAACCAAAAAAACTATTACGAAATTCTGGAATTTTCTCTTTTTAGTAGCTAACTAGTAAGCGAGAAATGTGTAAAAATAAACTTTGTTTCCATGGGAAAATTTCTAATTTCCGAGAATAAAGTGAGAGATAGAGAGACGCAGAGTGATTAGACAATTAGCACATAGAGCTGAAGAAGGAGAGGATAATGAGGGTTTAGAGAGACTAGAGAACTATGAGTTTAGGATTTTTAGAACTTTTTTTTGGGATTCTCTGTATAGAAACTTCATTTGAGTTTCAGAAAGCGCTGAAAATTGTGAAACCCCTCTTGATAGCTGGTAAAAAGGTGTTTTCGGATATTGGAGGAATCTGAAATTCCAAATTTCAGCTAGTTTTAAAATCTGACTTTACAGACTTGGACCGGGTTTGTACAGTCCCCTTTCCCTCAATTTTCAGAGTTCTACATTTTCCAGAATGTTCTAAAACACTTGACATCATGTTTCTATTGCTATCATATTCCCCATCTCCCAAGTCATGTGCCAAATGAATCACCCATAAAAGTCGATTCGTATAGTGTAATGAGTAACCTGCTCATTAGTAACGCCTCTTTCCTATATCTTATGGAGCAATCTACCTAGGGAGCTCATTAGTGAAGAAGAAGGGGCTCACACACAAATTCACATCCGTTTCGAAAAGGAAGGGATCACATGTGTTGAACATCTAGGAGAATCAAATGTGGAAGTTGGAGAGAGAGAGAGAGAGAGAGAGAGAGAGAGAGAGAGAGAGAGAATGGAGGATAAGGTGTTCATTGAGATGTAAAAAATTAATCATAACATTCCAAAAAAAAAAAAAATTCCGAAAATTGCAGCCAAGGTGGATCCAGTTCGCCCAGAAATCTTGGTTTTTTAAGCCAAATGCTTGGGATTTGACCTGCCTGTGTCTTGGAACCCTATTCTGGAAAATGCAGGGGATCACATACTATAATCATTCTTAGATGCTGATATTCTGAATATCATTTTATCAGTTGACAACTTATTGATCTTATCTTTTACAGAAACCGAGATATATGGGCTCAAATTTAACGGTTTGGGTGACTCTATATTCCAGGTTTTACCGTAATCCTAGCAGAATCATCGATTGGCTTCTTCCCTCTTTCATCTTGCTCATTTTCTAGGCTCACTTTTGTTGTCCATGTCTTTAGCATAGCGTACCTTGCCTTTATCACGGTATTCCTTTATCATAGCGATACTTGCCTATGGCCCTTTGTCCCAAACTCTGTTCCAACTCTGCACTTTTATAACCCCTACTTGCTTCTCACTGTTAAGCCCTCATCACCTCCTCTCGACCCTTTCTTCATTACTCTCGCGCCATCCTCTATCGCTACGCCTCGACAATCCGTACCGCTTGGCCTACCCAGCACCATCTTGACTCCTCCCTCACTAGCCTTGGCTCCCTACTTGCTCTCTGTGTTCTTCACAACACCCTCTCATTTGCTTATCTTTTCTAGTTGCTAACGAGCCGCGACGCGACCGCGTTCACGTGCTTCTCATTTATTTCGAGCGGAAGGAGCATTCCTTTTCCTGCATTTCCCATAGACCACCAGCTAGCCTATAATCATAACATAGACTAACCTCTCATTAAATTTGCCAGCGTTGTAATTGACGGTTTCTAAAGGGAGACATTAGAAAAGGTACTAGCAAGCACACGTAACATCCTGAAGACAGTCTTGTAGTAATCCTTGTTGTCCTAGGGATCCTCCTACTGTCCCACCGCGTCTTCTAGATTGTTCAAACTACTAAGCCTCCTTGGAGGAGCATCCTTATGATCTAGGTTGTCACTAGATCCCTAAATCTGTAGATCTCAAGATCCATAGTCCCCAACATTCATACACACCAAAGTCCATAGATCCCAAGATCCATAGCTCCCAAGATTTACAGATCCCAAGATCCATATATCCCAATATGCATAAATTCCAAGATTTATAAATCACAAAAGTCATAGGTCCCAAAATCCATAGATCCCAAATTTACCCCGTAGGCCTACAAGAGATTCTAAAGAGTATAACTAGGCTATCTAGGCTACCTAGGTTTCATGGGCTCTCTGGGTTATTGCTCAACTATCTAGGCAATCTAGGCTACATGTAGGTCTTCACTAGGCTTTCCAGGATTCCTTGATTATCTTGGCTACTGTTAGGTTACCTCTATGGCACTTTTATCTTCATAAAACAATATTTCGCAACACACTTCCTTCTAGACAATTCCCATCCTGGGGGACCCGCTTGATGTATGTTGCCCCATCTATCTTCTAGGAACCATAACTTCCTTGTTATTCATTTCTCCATCGTTCTTGAATGTCGAGGTTCATTAACAAATCCTTCTTATGTGATTCATATCTTTCTACACATCCCCAATTGTTTGCTTTCAGGTAATTATTTCTTCGTTTTGCTTGTTCATAAGCTTCATTCGATCTTCTGGCATCCAGTTCCGGCTAATCAGAAAGTGATCTGTTAACTCATCTAGCTGCAGAAGGAGAGAGTCCAAACAATCAAAACTTCTGCTCCCATTCAGTGAAGTTAACCCACAGGTGCGTACCCTGATTTTTAGAATTTTCGATGAGCGATTGATTAGCATCCACATCACTAGCTCCTCCTAGTGAGCCCACGACTTTAGTCTAGCAGCTGAGCCCTTGGGATCCTCTCGCCCAAGTGTCAGTCCAGTTCCAATGACGAGCAGTCTAGATAAATTATAGTTTGTGACGCTTATGACTATATTCATTCCAGACTCCAACCATGGTCTTTGGCATTCTCTGCGGCTGGTGCGTGCAACAGGAAAACGCCGATGGTCAAACAACTACTCAGAACAAGGAGGAGCCAGTACCACCATTGGCTCCGGAAGCAGCTCCAACCTACGAGATCGTCTACTCGTGGAGTTTCGCGTTCGATAACCTCATGAAGTATCGTCACGGACAAAAGCATCTGGCCGAATTTCTCAAGGGCGAGTTCTCCGATGAGAACATCTTATTCTGGCAGGCTTGTGAGGAGTTGAAGCGCGAGAGAAACTCGGAGAAGATCGAGGAAAAGGCGCGGATCATCTATGAAGACTTCATTTCGATTCTGAGTCCAAAGGAGGTCTCATTGGATTCACGCGTACGGGATCTCGTCAACACCAACATGGGGCGTCCATCGACTAGCACCTTCAACGAGGCTCAGAACCAAATATATGTGCTCATGCAGCGTGATAGCTATCCTCGCTATGTAAATAGCGCCCAGTATCGCAAACTTCTCGAGTCGTTCGGTGTCAGAGAGATGCCTGTTGATTGAAGTTCGTCGCCCAATTGGCTCCAGTCTCCTCTGCCGTGGCTTTCTGTCTCTGTGCACGTTCCTAAACTTCTTCTTCTAAAATTTCTGTATTCTATTCACACCCGTTGTCTTTGGCACCCTGGGTCTGCACCCGATCTCCCCGATCCTCCTCTGAAAATGCTTCTCCCCCTTTTTGACCCCTTCCAAAACCAACCAATATACAGTTCTGATGTCCCTTTACACCTTTCATGTCTACCGTAACCCAGTTAAACTTTCCCTTCGGTGTCCACAAGCTATCCTCCAACCATTTTTCCACTCTCAAAATGACCCCATACAGGTCTACTCCTTTCATATTTTGTACCCTGCGAAAATCTTTTCAACCCGTGACAGTGTCACGAATATTATCTCGGATTTTCCATCTCCCAAAATCCTAAGACTTTCCATTTTATGAGCTCTCGATGTTCCCCTCATTTTCACCGATTTTTCCCGACGTTTCCCGACGTTTCCCGATTTTCCCCGATTGTTCCCGATTCTCAAGATTTTCCTTGATTCTACCGATTTTGCCAGGTTCTTCCAATTTTTCCGATGTTTTTTTTCTAATATTCTGTACTTTATTGTTTACCCTCTGATATTGATTTTTCCCGAATTTCCCCCAATCCCCCCGATTCATTGCGATTTTCTCCGATTCCTCTGATTGTTCCGATTTTCTCGACATCCCCTGATTGTTTTGATTTTCCCCGAATTCTCCGGTTTTTCCGATTCTTCCAAATTTTCAATAAAGCTGACCAGAAAAACAATAGACATGCAGAAAGACAGCTTGAAACAGCAAAAAAACAATGTCCAATGGCCTGGATCAGCCCAAAATCTTAAAAAGGCAACCCATTCGATTTCGTGTCTATCAATAAAGCCCATTTGCGTCCCCTCACATATCCCTTATGTCGCGTTCGAAAGTTGATTGTTCTAGGAGAAAATTCTTTGAAAAACGCTGACCAATGCTGCCATTGTTTTCCAGAGGCCTTTGCTTCGAGACCCGCCGTAAATCGACATGAATTCCCATTTTCAACAATAAAAACACAGTCGAAACGAGTGCTGCAGTAGTTTAGAGTTCCTGAAAATCTGGAAAACAATGGCAGCTTTGGACTGCGTTTTTCCAGAAACTGTCTCCTGGAAATCAGCTTTGAACGTGGAATTACAGGTGCCCAACTCCATAGAAGTGGAGTTCTTTAATTATGGAACGACGTCCGGTTTTCCAATAAGCAGGTACCGCGGGTTTTTATGTCGTATTGCTCATGCATAAGTGAGAGTCCAGGGAGGAAAATTTTATTTTATAATTTCGAAATTGGGTAGGTCGAAAAAAAGTGTTGTGATGTCCTGAACAAGATTCATCGTTCCCAAAATGAAAGTTATTTGAGGAGAAAAACAGTAATGAGCGTGCGTTTCCTGAAAGCCGATAAGCCAGTGTTCAGTTAATATTGTTAATCAAAAGGAAGCTGTGGGATTCATTGTCCGAGGTTTGGTGCCAGGTGCGAAGAAAATCAACGATGTCATCAGCAAGAGAAAGATGACAAATGAGAGTTCAAATGACTGAACGACCCGAACAGCCTAAAGTACCCAGCCCTAGCTAAAACAACCTGAACATCTTGAAAAAGCCCGTAATAGCCCAAAACAGCTCATAAAGCACATAAAACATCTTTCATGCTCCATACTTTTTGCAGATTGCTCATTTTATTTACTATAGTTGTTAATTTCGAATCTACTGGGACTACACACTCTGGCAAAACAATTTTGTTCTGATGTTGAAGTGTAAAACATAAATGTCGTTTTTGGAAAACGAAGCTAGGAAAATAAAAAGGGCAAATCACAGAAAACCAATTAACTGACACAGCAGTGTCTCGAAGGTCCTTTTACATATTGCTCCTCGCATAACTTTAATTATACTTTCCAGTTTTATCATATGAACATGTGGATGGTCCATGTTCCAAGCAATCCCAGGATTCTACGGTTTCGAAGGTAGGACAATTGTTCCTTTGTATCTATGATTGCCTATCAATGTGTTATAAATAAAAACTCGGAGTGCCGAAATTCGGTTTTCAACTAGCTTAATGAGCTGATTGCTCACTACTATTTACGAGTTTAGGTCAGTTAGGCCTCAGCAGAGAGCTGTGTGCACTTTGAAGTCTTTGAAATCAGGTGATATTGACTTGGAACCAGAAAATAGTGACTGCGGTTTTTAAAATGAACTTTTAACGGATTTTTGATAAACAGGATGACTTCAAAGTGCTACTTCGGAATAGGTTTTACGGGCTTTTGGGTGCTGAATTTCTGTGGAACAGCTTGGCGAGCGTTTTGATCTGAAAGACATTTGTTTGGGCATTACAGAACACTATTTTTATAATATGATGCCAAATGGTACCAGTATAACTTATAGCTCCCCTATAAATCTTATCACTTTCTTATTGATCACTTATCTTGGCTGAATTTAGCTTGTTGATAACGAGTCCAATGACAGCAACCGAATCAAAGTAGGTAGAAGACAGCAAATGCCTCCGGGAATCGACTAATTGCAGAGGTAAGAGGGAGTAGAGAGTTTTGTCGAATAGCTGAAATAGTAGGAAAAGAAAAGAGGTTATCCTTAAAGTGCCACTCAGTGCCACGGTACGGACTTTCTGCTCGTTTCTCGAGCACTCTCCTCAGAAGTCGCTTGTCTATCACAGCACACACACACACACGCAGCAACTTCCTGACGACGTCTTCTTATCAATACCTCAACTGTTTGGAGTCGTAATTTTTAACGCTTCAATTCGCTTTTGCTATCCTCTTACCGCTGTTAACGCCTCAACTGTTTGGACTTAAGATTCTTAACGCTTCAATTCGCTTTGCTTCGCTTCAATCAACTGGAACTTCTTTAAAATTTGTCTTCAACAAGATAAGATCAAGGTAAGGGACCTAAGAAGATAAGAGGTATCGGAAGCGGCTTATTTCAGACATCATGGTGTTCTCATTCTCATGCTGTCGTTCCTCAGCTACAGTCACCCCTTTCGAGCCATTGACTGTCGAAGTTGTCCGCGAGTGGGCTGTCAATTTCGATAACCTTCTGAAAAGCCAACGAGGACAAGAAGAGTTTTTGAAGTATCTGAAAAAAGAGCATTCGGAGTGCAACTTTTTGTTTTGGCAGTCTTGCGAACAGTTGAGGGTCCAGACGAACCAAGGAACTGTCAATGAGATGATTCGCACGATTTATCACGATTTTCTGGCGCCAGAAGCAGACATGCAAATTAATATAAATGCCGCCAATCAGGGGATTGCCAGGGAAGCTTTGGAACATCCAGCGCCGCATGCATTTGATCCTGTTCAACAGGAGATTTACGGGTTAATGAAGCGGGATAGTTATGGGAGGTATATTAGAAGCGATAGATATAAAGAGTTGTTAGCTTCGTTCGAGCCTGAAGCGACCAATTCCGTGACTAATTAGAATAGCATTCTCAGCATTCTCCTTTCAACGGGTTTATGAATTCAATGGGTTTATTAAGTTTTCTTTAAGTTTGAGTTGTTCCCTTTAAGTTTAAGTTGATTCCTTTAAGTTCCTTAAGTTCATTCCTCAAGTATTCCTTTAAAGGTGGGGGGACATGAGATTTTTCGTAGTTTTTTTGTAGCTAGAGTATGCATTCTACCGTCACGGTGTACAACGCTTAATGTCACTCTGCGTACAGCTGTCGTCCTCGCCTTTATGTATGCGAACGGGCGTGCGCTTTCTCTTTGCCCGCGTGGCTCAGTCGGTAGCGGCGCCGCACCCTCAATCATCGCCCTCACAAGTTCAACTCCTCGAGGGGCATCTTTGAACGGAATTTCGAGAACATTATTTTTTTCATGTCCCCCCACCTTTAAGACTATGTATTATTCCTAAAGTTCGGGTCCTTAGTTTCAATCCATATTCTTTCATTGTTATCCACGGGTCAATGAAAAACTATGTCGTTTCTTTTATGTTCATATACGGGTCCATTTCTAAAGTTGTTAATTGTATCTTTGATGATTTGTTCCTTTTTTTCCGCAATTGTTCATTTGTATCTATGATGTTTTTCGTTTGCCTATCAATGTGTTATAAATAAAAACTTGGAGAGCCGAAATTCGGTTTTCAACTAGCTTAATGAGCTGATTGCTCACTACTATTTACGAATTTAAGTCAGTTCGGACTCAGGAAAAAGCTGTGTGCACTTTGATTTGGAACCAGAAAATGGTGAATGCGGTTTTTAAAATTAACTTTTAAACGATTTGGGATAAACAGGATGACTTTAAAGTGCTAATAATGATTCAGACAATAAAAACATTGAAAATAGCTCTCAGGGATTGCTCATAGAATACTAAAACATAAGAATTGTGTTGAAGGCTCCTGGACAGGTATTGTGCATGTTTTATCTATTGAACATCTGAAAGCACAACATCGAAATGAAAGTGATAACAAAGTTTCCAAAGAGGTACAATGCTTTAAAAGGAGGTGTGGACCAACAATATAATTAGGCTTTAAAGCAGGAGACTTGAAAGAAGAAAAATACAGAATTCAGGAAATTCGAAAAGAGATTGAGAATTTTGAACAGGTTTTGAGGAGAAACGGGAACACGAGATCACAACAGAAAGATACAAAGTTCGGAGAGTTCCTACGTTGAATTTTCCTTCAAATCTTTATACATCTGGCTTTGAATGAACCTTGGATAGCACTCGAGCTGCATTAAACTATAAATGAACGCCTGAGCAACATCATACGTATGAATGGTTGGGTTCATCATCTCCCGTCTGATTCCATCCCGTATTTCCTGACTCACACCCAATTCGTACTTGCCAGCTTCGTTGAAAAATTTGCTGAACATTCTTTGAGCGAATCGCTTGATGTCTTGCTGGTCCGTTTTCCGTTTCAACGCTTCGCAGTGCTCCCAAAAGTCGAGATTCTCTTCCGAGTGTTCCTGCTCACAGAACTTGAGGAATTGCTCGCGACCACGTTGGCAGGCTAGAAGGGTCTCCAGGCTCGTGGACCAGGAAGTCACCAGTTCCCGGGTTAAAGGTGTTTTGAGAAATGGGTTGTTTGAAGAACCGCTGGATGAGGATGCTGCGGGGGTGATAGAAGTTTTTTTCTTGAAGAATTTGGACATCTGAAAATATTGATTGATCATCCATTTTTTCCCAGCTTTTTTACCTTGCTGAGCCAATCTCGCTGAGCCAGAGAGTGCTAGAAAGAAGGCGAGCAATTGAGCTGGCTGCTAGCTGCTGAAAAGAGCTTTAATTGATATGATAAATGGGTTAGAGGTTAGACAGAAGAGGGGAAAAAAGGGGAAGACAGGGAAGATGCCACTTCAAAAGTCTCTTCTGTTACTAGGCTGCCTTCTTATCAACGTCTTCGCCTCTTTGGCTCATTGCACACACCTTCACGCTTCCCTTGCTATCCACAATCTACCTCCTACCTCTCGTCTGGATCCACTAACAAAGTTCTGTTTGAATTGAATTCTTATCTCTCAAGGTGAACATATTCAGAAAATATTATATGAATCTAGATAGGATTGTTTCAGATCTATTAAGATACGAGGCCATAGGATGATCAGATCCTAGAGGACGCTCACGACATAGATCAAGGATCCATCTCAGACTGAACCGGTTAGTTTCCACTGGATATAGAAATCAGGAAACTTTCATTTTCAGACTTCGTTAACAATTATGGTCTTCTGTTTATTCTGCAGACCATCTCAAGTCCATCCGGATCCCTCCGATCATCCGGATCCCCTCATTCTCCCACCACCCTCTCTCACTTTCGAAACTGTGAACGGATGGTCAGTGTGCCTATCTCATCTCATCGCTACAGAAGCAGGACAAGACGAATTCGAGAAGTTCCTGCTCAACGAGCACTCGGAGGATAATCTCCTTTTTTGGAAAGATGTGCAGGAGTTGAAAAAAGGTGAAGAGGAGAAAAAGGATGTCATGAAAATTGAGGAACAAGTCAGCATCATCTTCGACGACTACATTGCCCAAGGAGCCCCAAAAGAAGTCTCGATCCGCGCTAATACCGTAGCAATTGTCAAGGAGAACATGAAAATCCCAAATAAGGAGGTTTTTGACTTGGCTCAGCAGGAGATCTTCGACTTGATGAGCAGAGATAGCTATATTCGTTATATCAGCAGTCCGAGCTATCAAAAGCTGCTCGACTCAGTCACAACTACAGTACCGCTGCTCTCAGCTACAGCAGCTACAGCAGAAGAGCAGGTTGTGAAGTGCAAAACAAATTAGTTTTCAAAAGGTTCCATATTCTCATTGTCTTGGTTGTCTTTTTGGGGTCTTCAAGTTATTTGGTTCTTGTCTTAATGTTCAGATTAATATCCTAAATCACAGTTCAACCAAAAAATCTCTCATTGTGTTCTTTTCGGTTCATCGACTTGATTCTGTTCATTTCTTTAACTATCCGCCCAGATCTATTCTTCTGTTTTTCAAATCATTTCATTTTCACTACTCTTACTCTTTGCTATATATATTTTGTTTGCTTATCAGAACGATAAAAAGCCAAGCGTCAAGCTCAACAGCTTCATTAGCAGATTACTCACCCATCTCAACTTTACGAAATTGTGAAAGGGCTAGAGGAAAGAAGATGTGTGGACAAATTTTGAGTGTCCAGACAAGGATAGAATGCTTGGAAAATTGGAATTTAAAGGAGAAGGTTTTCAGGAGAATCTGGTAATTTTAGGATTCAAGATAGCTTTGAGGAATCAACTTAACCCTCTAACAGAAGATCACTCTATACCAGGCTTGGTCGGAATCGGAAAATCGAGTTCTCGATTTTTCCGATTTTCCGATTTTTTCGGAAAATTTTTCCGTCGGAAAATTTTCCGAATTTTTTTTCGGAAAATTTTCCGAAAAATATTCGGAAAATTTTTTCTCGAAATAATCATGCTGCGTTCAAAGTGAAGAGGAAATCTCTATTTTGTATAGTTGAAACGGGTGCAACAGTAACCCAAGCGCGGCGAGACCCGCAATCGGTGTCGATTTACGGGGTCGATTTAAGGTGAATTTTTTTAAAATTATTTTTTTTTGAATGAAAACATACTTTAATCAGGGTTTTCATTACTTTTTCAACATTTTTTTCGGTTTATACTGTTCTTAATAGACTTCTTTTATTTTTCAGTGATTTTTTACCTTCTCTCACTGAAAACACTTGGTTTTTTTCAGACTTTAGGTCATCAAAAGTTTTTCTTAAAATTGTTGGTTTTGCAGTGAGTAACTTTGTCTGAATTTAACGAAATTTTCAGACTAAACATGGGAAAATACTCAGCGGTATTGACAAATCTGGCGGATGGAAGGAAAAAGTGTAATATTTGCAACCGATTCTTCAACGAGCAGAAAGACTCCGGCACAAATTTATTGTTTTCCATTTCATTTTTGTGCTTTTTGTTGTTTTTGTTGTTTTTGTCAAATAAACTGGTAATTTTTGACTAATTGAAATTCGAGAAAATTCGAGAATTCGATTTTCCGGAAAAAAAAGTCGAGAAATAATTCGAGAACTCGATTTTCCGAAAAAAAAAAGTCGAGAAAAAATTCGAGAACACGCTTTTCCGAATTTGTTTTTCCGAACAAGCCTGCTCTATACTTCTCTTAAAGCTCATATATCTTGCTTCCGATCGAAGATATGAAACATTTGTCAACTGATAAATTGTTTATCATGACATCAGAAGTGTTTTGCTAGTTGACCGTTTTATGATATCTTTCACAGAAAATGAGATATATAGGCTCAAAGTTGACAGCGGGGGGGGGGGGCTTTTTTTTTAGGTTTTATGGTGTATGGATGCTTCAGACAATGATGACCTGCTCATCTGGTAGAAGAAATTATGAACTTTGAGGATACTGATTTTTCAGGTGCTGATGGGTTCTAGGGTTAAATGTAGAAAGGATGATGATTATGATGTTTTGGACGATTCATAATTAGAAAAGTCTGTTTAGGAACCTCCGAGGCTTAACCTCCTGGCTCTGGCTTACAGTATACCCCGAAATGGTTTCAAAAAGTTTTTTAATGAATAAAATTAGGAAGTCATAGCTCACCTTAAGGTTAAAGTTGGCAATGAAAGGGAGTGCAAAGACGCCGTGGGAAGGTTTGCTGGAGAATTCTGACTTCCTGGAAGATATTCTGAAATTTTTAGAACAGTTCTATATGACGTTCTAAAGTAGGATTTAGGTTGGTTACGATGTTTGCAAACTTACCCAAATTCGAAATTATAAGGCTAGTTAAGACAAGCTAAAGAAGGCGAACTTCTAAGAGTCAAAATCCAAACTAAATGAAAACGGCAAGTGGACCAAAAGGCTCACTCCGACTCCATGAAAACATTGCTCACCCTATAATTAGTCCTCAGTCATGTGGAGTCTTGGAAACGAAAACATTTAGTATAGTTTAGGAGGGGGGGGGGCGCAACTACCGTAGTGAGATGCATAATTATAGGCACATGTTGTTTCCCGCAGGCGGAGCTGATATAGGGTGGATTGACAGGTGGTTTTTTGTATCGACTCCTTGTTCATCGATCGCCTTGTCAATGTTCATGAGTTTTGGATCTATTTTTGGTGGTTTTGGACCTTTTTATCTTCTCAAAGCGTAAATGCTCTAACACCCACTCTGAGCTCAATTATCTCGATTCCTATGAGTAGTATCAAAAATGTTTCAACTGATAAACTGTTTATCAAAAGATCACCAACGTTTTATCAGTTGACATATTTTTTATATATCTTATAGGAGCCGAGATAATTGAGCTTCCTTAACGATTAGGAACTTTGAGAACTTGTCTATAGCTTTTTCATTGGGATAATAACGCTAGAGACATTTTCTTTAAAGGTGGGGGGACATGAAAAAAATAATGTTCTTGAAATTCCGTTCAAAGATGCCCCTCGAGGAGTTGAACTTGTGAAGGCGATGATTGAGGGTGCGGCGCCGCTACCGACTGAGCCACGCGGGCAAAGAGAAAGCGGACGCCTGATTGCATACATAAAGGCGAGGACGACAGCTGTACGCAGATTGACATTAAGCGTTGTACACCGTGACGGTAGAATGCATACTCTAGCTACAAAAAAACTACGAAAAATCTCCTGTCCCCCCACCTTTAACATTCTTCATTTTAGAATTTAATGAACAGAGAAACAGTAACTCATTATTTCAATAGATCTTTATAGATATCACTATGCTGAAAAGCAATATAGGCTTCCCGTTCAAGGAAGAAAAAGGTGAATCTCATTGCCTCATTGAAAATGTCCTCCGGCCACTCTTCCATCTCGGTCTTCTTGTTGATCCTATCTAACATATCCTGATCCAACTTCACCGCCGTTGGTGAGTCTTGATTGATGACAGTATCGTAGATATGCTTCATCATCTCTTCGTTATCCCCGTCATAATCCTCTATCTTCGTCCAATCCCATACAACTTTCCAAAACGCGAATTTGTTGCTCAGTTCGGGATCCGACTTGATTAACCCGAAAAGTAACGTTTTCCATGACAACTGGCCATCAGATACATAAATGACTCGCTCCACAATTTGATTTCACAGATTTGACACCGTTTGTTGTATCCTTTTCTGGGAAAAGATAGCTGGAACACAGATTTCGTCAAATTTAAGAGTTATCAGTGATTGACTTACGAGTGGATAGACCAAAGTGGATTGAGTGTGGATGCCAGCAGCCCAGGTTCAGTTTTATTATGAACTATATGTCTTCCGCAGTTCTGACATATCTCAGGACCAGGCCTGAAAGAATCGATATCAAAGAGTGGATGCGTTGTTTTGGGACTAACGGAAATTGCAGACTTCCGATTAAAGTGTCAAGCTCTGTGCCTGGGCTCTCAGCCAAAACGAAACTTCTAGATACTAGATATTTCTAAAGAGAGAAGGTGTAGAACTGTGCTAACCAACACCAGCATTGATATGTTGAGTTAGATAGCCAAGAATCAAGAAATAGCAAGACTATCACTGATAGGATACAGCCGTAAGTTTAACTTTAAGCTTATTTATCTCAAATTCGGTAAGAGATATCAAAAAGTTACCAACTGATAAATTTTTTATCATAATATCGCCAACATTTTATCAGTTGACATATTTTTGATATCTTTCGTAGAAGCCGAGGTAGATGAACTCGAACTGGATAGTGTGGGGGCCCTCCCATTACATGTTTTCCGGTAAATAAGCATAGATAGTTTGAACTTTCAATGTAAGAAATCTCCGGCTTACAAAAATACATGCCATTAGAAACTTCACAAAAAACTAATCCACTAGTAATCCCAGCAATGTAGGTAATCCCTCCTAATCCAACAAGGCAGGGGGGTGAGAGTGCATCAGAGGAGCCGTGCCAGCCAGCAACGGCTCCGAAACTAGAGCATGGGAAACAAACTATAGGAAAAAAGAATCATTCATGCACTGATGTGGGAAGGTATGCGTGGGAAGACATTTTGAAAATTACTAAATTTGGAATCAGTGGTGTGGGGTGTGATGGATGACGATCAGTTAAAACTTTGAATTTACAGAATTTTTCAAAAATTCCTAGTTTTTCTGCTATTTGCCGATTCCTGAAAAACACCCTTGTTGGCCCGTAAAAATGGTTCAAAAACCATTTTTCTAGCTGTTCTAGGAGCCGAGATACAGCCAGTCAAATAATTAAGAGACGCAGACCACGAGACGCTCTAACTGTCTGCGTCTCTTAGAAACTTCAAATAGCCATATCTCAGTTTCTGGAACAGCTAGAAACCTGGTTCTTTTTGTGTTTTGGAGCATTTTTCTCTTTTTTTTAGAGGAGTCAGATTAGAGAGGTCAGAATGATATGCTTACTTGAGCATCATCGGGTTCAAAAGCAAATCCCCATCATTTTGTGGCGCCTTGGCATCGTCTGCTTCATGTTCCTCACAATGACTTAGAAGAGGTGCTCATGGCTAGCAAAGCTTAGCAATGGCTACCGGAACCAGCAGGTGGAAGGACTACCGGAAACTTATGAGAGATTAGACGCGCTGCGGTAGCGCAGGTTCACTGCAATATATGCCTAATCCTCAGCACGGGCTCCAGGGGTGGAGCTTGGGAATCGAGAGCAGGGGAAAAGGTGTGGAATGTGAGCGTGGGAAGATTTGGAGCACATGAGTGCCTAAATTGGGAAGCAATGAAGCAGGATTTGGGTGAATTTTCGGTTCATAAAATTTCGGTTTAGGAAAAAAAAACAAATTTTATGATTAACTGACTTATTGATATACGGGTATAAGAGGTACAGAATAATACATTCTTATTGGGAATATCTAAAAATTCAAGAATATATAGATACGGCTTTTCCCTCTTCCTCATTTTCAAGCTTGGCCAACAACTCTCGATACATTGGGCTCCTCAAATACTCGGGATACGAGATCTCCCTCATTTTCTCAAACACTATTTGTTGGGCCTCATCGTACACATCCCTCGGCACCACATCTTCCACCAACTTCTCATACATTCTTTCCAAAACTGACAGGTCGAGTGCGATGTGCATCTTGCAGGCAGGTCTGAGCCACTCCTCATGGATTATCAATGACTTGGATCGTTAGACCTTCTCGTCGGATGTCCTTTTCCATTCATTGGCTTCAAATTTAGTGTAAGGGGGCCCTTTTATTGCAGGTTTTACGGTATCTCCAGATAGACGAGCAGGGTTTTTTCAAAATCTGAAAGTTTCTGAAACTTTAAGACTACTTTCTGGAAATCTGAAAATCTGAAACTTCTTTTGAAAAAAAAAGGAAACTGAGAATCTGAAACTACCTGAAAGTATGAAAATGTCAGGAAATCTGAACGTGTCCAAAATCTGAAACTTTCTGAAAGTCTGAACTCATCTTAAAATATCTGAAACCATCTAAAAAAATCTGAAAATCTGAAAACCTGAAAATCTGAAACTATCTGAAACTGTCTAAAACTATCTGAAAATCTGAAAGTCTGCCAAAACTGAAATTTTTTTCATATTGCAACAAACAAAAGATTTTTCAAAAATTTATTATTGAGAAATCTTTTAAAAACAAAATTTTACACTTTTCTCGTTCCTCCTCATATTTCTGATTCTGGTCGACGATCTGAAATTTTATAAATTACAATTTTTAGCAGAAAAATTATCATCTTCACCTCCAAAAACACTTCCTGGCATATCAAAGCAGTCCTAACTTTCCATTCTTGTCCTTCTGGTTCTAATGATCTGAAAAATTTTCATTTAAAAAAGTCTAGAAAAATTATCTCTACCTCCTAAAACACTTATTGTCTCAACCGGCATGTTAAAGCAATCCGTTGGGATCCATGGAAGAGCAGCTGACAATATCTGCAAGACTTTGGAAATTCAAAATTTCAAATTTTGACCTTAAAACACTTACATTTCAATTTAAACCCGTGTCTATCACTGTAGTATTAGGGATCTGAAAATCTTCAATTTGTAAGTTTTTTAGGTCATTAAGATTACCTTCAGAACCCGAAAATGACCAGATTTGAAATATGTCCATCCATAATTGAAATACCCATAATCAGAATAACAGAAATAATATTTTAAATTTTTAGAAAAATAAAAATGAGCAACCTACACATGGTTACTAAAATCACCGATACATTGCTGAATTCTTCGGCGTTGAAGGTTTCTTTTAAACGCCAAAATAGGCTCCGCCCCGTTTCTTTGCGCTGTGCTCTCTCCCAATCTGCTTATCTCGTCATAATATTCTTGATTAGAAGGCTCCGCCCACGTGTTTCGGGAAAATTCTGGGAAATTGCATTGAGGAAATTTACAGATTTTGGAATTCTCATAGATTGTGCTCTTCCTACTGTAATCCAGACTTCTAAATCTTTAAAATCCAAAAATGATAATCCCATCGAGTACGGATTTTTTTCTCATTTGGATAATGGGAAAATATAGTTAATCTCAAAATATCCTTTCTAAGAAGACCATCTAATCCGAAGTATGTATAGAAACATGGAATCTGAATATAGAAAATAGATCTCTGAAAAACAGCTGCCCACAGGATGCCCACAGACTCCCATATGCTGCCCAAAAGCTGTCCAAAAGCTGTCCAAAAGCTGCCCACACTGTAAACACCGGTTACTGTACACCAGTGAAGGGAGGAATTTCCGCTTCCGTTTCCGCAGGAAAAAATTTACGATTCCGTTTCCGTTTTCCGGAAAAACCGCCATTTTTTACAGCGGAAACGAAAAAAAAAGTAAGAAACAACGAAAACATTAAAGGTGGGGGGACATGAAAAAAATAATGTTCTCGAAATTCCGTTCAAAGATGCCCCTCGAGGAATTGAACTTGTGAAGGCGAGGATTGAGGGTGCGGCGACGCTACCGACTGAGCCACGCGGGCAAAGAAAAAGCGGCCTCCCGCTTGCATACATAAAGGCGAGGACGACAGCTGTACGCAGAGTGACATTAAGCGTTGTACACCGTGACGCATACTCTAGCTACAAAAAAACTACGAAAAATCTCCTGTCCCCCCACCTTTAAACTGGAACTGGCTTGAAAAAAAGCATGGAAAGTGATGCCAATATGGTCTTAAAACGTTTAAAAGTGTTTATTTTTATGTTTGAAGGGAACAAAATCCTGAAAAATAGACGAAAAATAGAAATTTCCGTTTCCGTTTTTGTTTTCCGTTTTCCGTTTTCCGCGCCGATTTTTGAAAATTTTTTTTCCGTTTCCGTTTCCGCGGGAAAAAAATTTACGATTCCGTTTCCGTTTCCGTTTTCCGTATTTCGGGAAAATGCGTTTCCTCCCATCACTGCTGTACACCTACACGCGAAAATGCGCATAATCGCCCCGAGGAAGCTCTCTCCTCTCCTTCAATTAAAACCCTTGTATTTCCGTTACCTTGTCTTCTTAGACATGTGTCTGAATCCTTGTGTCTCCCAGAATTCAATTTCCGGATTACAAAAACCCCTGAATATGTGTAAATACTGGCTTAAGCTTGTCTAGACAACCCTCGTCTGAGAAGATTAGTCGCCTTGGCAACCAAATATCTTGTTGGCCTTTTTCAATAGAATTGTGGACTCGTTTCTTCTAGGAACATTTACAAGGGTCAATTTGAACTGGATTTTTGAGAAGTTTCAACTTTTTTTAAATAATGGTAACACATTTTCAAGAAACTAGAAATCCTAGAAGATTCTATATCTAGTTTGATCTTGATTTCGAAAATCTAGGAGATAAGACATTGTGGGAATTTTGTCTCTAGTTTGGTTTGGAATTCGGCGTTCTGATTTTCCTCGAATTTTAATGACACCTTAGTAAATTGGGTACCTGGGAGGGGGTTGTATATAGTTGGATCTCAACTTGAGAACTTCGAATACTTACTTTCTTCTTTGACAACGTCAGATGTGCTTATTTATAAGAGACCATTTGTATCCAGGCATGCCTATAATTGCCTAATCATGGTCTGGGATCCTTCTAGACACTTCTGGGACCGTCGGATCTTGGACAGGACCTCAAAATACTTATATTCAACTTTTAAATGTTCTCAATGGTGAATCTAGTTTGTTCTCAACTTGGGAATTTTGAATTTCCGCCATTTTGGGTTCCCATTAATTGTTAAGAACTCCCGAGACCCCAGTGACAGTGGAAGCGGTGGAAGCTTACATTAGTAACAGGCGATCAAAAACCACGTATTCGTAGTTATAATAGCCTAATCGAAACCCTTTCACATGACTAATTCTATGTTTAAAGGCGCATACTTTGTATCCGTGTGTGTATAATAATGTTTGGCACGTGAGAGCCATCTGAAGTAAGCAATTTGGTTGTTATTCTGATGCCTAGAATTCGTTATCCGTTAACGTTAACTACAAAGGTTTTAGTTGTTTGGCTATCACGAGGTTTGAGAGCGCTGATGAATGATTTCATTGGAATTTCAAAAAATAAGGGGAATCGGAAAACAAGGGGGATATCATTGGGGATATTTTCCTAACATCTGAAAAATTCGGGTTCTGTAAAAACGATATTAAACATGTCAAACAAGAATGCAATATTTATAGTGTTCTCCAGATGAAGTTGGACGTTTAACATCTGATTCACGATTTGCATCATTCGCGCCAGACGACTGGCATAGTTTTGAGGGTTTCCTGGATTCTCGGAATCTCCAAAAATTCTTCCAGAACTTCCAGAATTTTCTTCATAATAGGAATGTAAATTATTGGAGATTTCTTCTAAAAATCGCTCTCCAGCAGCTTGAGTTTGTCCCTGAAGACGTCGCCCAGCATAGTTCCAGACGATTTGACACAAAATGAATGTGATTTCAGTTTCAGACAGTTTCAGATCCAGAAAGGGCTTGACGATGATCTCGTAGTATTGAATCATTTTTCCACCGAATACACTGTAAAAAATTTTTAGGATTTTAAAAAGTTGATTTTCAGAAATTTTAAGCTCTCTTTCAAGCCAATTTCTCTTAATTTCAGCCAAAAACTCACTTATTGAATTTATCAAATCCATGATCCGAAACCTTCGAATAGTCTATGGAATAGGCTTCCATGTGAATCGCGTATTGATGGGAATGGAGATAAATCTGGAAATTTCAGAATTTTCAAAAATTCAAACTTTACTGGAATTTCGCTGAAATTTTAGAAATTTAAAATTCCAGGATTTTTTTATTTTCGAATTTCAAGACCATACTTTTTCATCGTAACACCTCTGACCAAAGATCTTTGCAGTCATAGTGAACCTCTCGAATCGCCGCCACACTGCCCAGACTATTTTGAATATTGCTATCTGAAATGAAACTGGAAGTTTTTAGAATTTGACATTATTACAAAATAGGGAAAATTTAAAACATTTTGATATGAAAATCATGTAAATAGGAGTAAAATTAGCAGAGTTACAAGGGTTTAAAACTGTTGTATTCTAAAATTCCAAAATTTCCCGTTTTTCTGTCATAACTTGCTCCATTTTCAACATTTTTAGATAAAATTAACATTTTCAGAATTAGCAAAATCTGAAAATTCCAAAAAGTACAAACCCTCTCATGCTCGGGCAATCCTCGAAACTCATTACAGTACATTAGCCACGTGGCGGCGTCTCTCATCTGTGCCTCCCAACCGTAAAACATTTCGATGAATTCAATTTTTTCTCGGAATTCTGGATTCCAATTTTGTCTGGATCGTAATTTTTGAATTGAGTGGACCATTCGTTGAAGAGATTTGAGTGAGAAATTGAGTCTTCGTCTGGGAGGTAGTACTGGAAATTTTCAAAAAAATCGAAATTTGAATTTCCCGCCTTACGGTTTCCAAAATGGTCCTTGACTTTTTAATAATCGCATTGATGTCCAACAAAATCGCTGGACCACGAGTTTTGGGATGAGCAATGTTATAGGCTATTTGCTCTTCTCGCTCGGATAGGGCAGATGACGTGGATGGAGAATCTACTTCTGGGTACTTTTGGGAACATTTTGAACCTTCTGGTTTGTAGTTTTGGGATTCTTAGAATTCTGAATTTGAATATTCGAGTTTCTTGGAGATTATGATTTTTCTGGAATTCTCTGAATTTCTGAATTCTCTGAATTTCTGAATTCTCTGAATTTCTGAATTCTCTGAATTTCTGAATTCTCTGAATTTCTGAATTCTCTGAATTTCTGAATTCTCTGAATTTCTGAATTCTCTGAATTTCTGAATTCTCTGAATTTCTGAATTCTCTGAATTTCTGAATTCTCTGAATTTCTGAATTCTCTGAATTTCTGAATTCTCTGAATTTCTGAATTTCTGAATTTCTGAATTCTCTGAATTTCTAAATTTCTGAATTTCTGAATTTCTGAATTTCTGAATTTCTGAATTTCTGAATTTCTGAATTTCTGAATTTCTGAATTTCTGAATTTCTGAATTTCTGAATTTCTGAATTTCTGAATTAACTCACTTTCACTTGTCATTCCCATGTCTAGGCATTTTTTGAATCGACAAAATTTACATGGGGATTTTGAATTTTGGTCGTCTTCTAGCAAAATTTCACAATGTCCGACTCTTTTCCGACATTTGTATTTTCGATTCAGGACTACCGTACGTCTGGAATTTTCAGAATTGTTTTGAAATCTAATTGGCTAATTAATTAACTAATTACCTAAAAAACGCAGCACACGCCCGACAAGTTTCTAGGCCAAAATGTAGACCATGTCCGGTTTTTGAGCAAATTTTGCATTTTACAGCAAAATACGAAAGATCGGGAGAGAATTCAGATGAGCTGGAGGAGATGGACATGCTGAAAATTGGGAAAAATATACAACTCAAATTTTAGTCATGATTCATTTTTTGGGGGAAAATTCTCTTATCGGAAAAAAGATCATACGGCGCAAAATGAATGCTAAAGTAAACAATTGAATCATTGAGAAAATAGTGTGAGACATTGAGAGACGCAGAGAGTAAGAGAGAGAGAGAGAGAAATTTGAAGAGGAATTAGTAATCGGAAAAAAAAAAAAAAAAAAAAAAAAAAAACCGAATATTTGAATCAGTTTAGGACCATATACCGGTACTGTATATCATTAAACTTGTGGAATTAGAAGGTTCTTTATTAACAAATAGTCATTTCAAATTAATAAAAAATATAATGAAATCAAAAATTTGAGATTCCAAGATTCAATGATCTCCCTTGGCCTTCTTCTCACTATCAGCTGGAACACGAACTGAAGCATCGGACATTGGATCCGTTTGCGGCTTAGCCAGAATCAGCTCACCATCTCCCGTCCATGGCACCGACTCCCTCTTGACTGGATGATGTTTTGGTCGTGGTAGTGGAGCAGGGGTATTTGGACTGAACTCCAGATATTCACTGGAAGGGAATAGGCAACAGCCAAAAGGACAAATAGGGAAAGGAGGACGAATTTCATGATTGGCAACTTCAGGATATGGTCAATGGGGGCATGGGATTCTTTTTATACCGTCCATGAAAGAATAGACTGATCAGAGATCCATGTACGAGAGATAAGAACCCGGAAATTTTAGAAGTCTTGGGTTCAGCGAGAAACGAACGAGGAAGTGATTCTTTTACCGGTTTACGTACTTCCGGGTCTTGATGATCACATATTGTATATCTTATTGACCGGTGGTACTGCACGGTAGTGATGGGAGGCAACGCATTTTTCCAAAATACGGAAAACTAAAACGGAAACGGAATTTTCTGTTTTTCGTCTATTTTTCAGGATTTTTTCCCATAAAACATGAAAATATACACTTTTTAACGTTTGAAGACTATATTTGCCTCATTTTCCATGCTTTTTTTTGAGCCTGCTGCACAGGTAAGTGTAAAATCTGAATTTAAGAATTTTTATTTAAAACAGCGGGAGAATCCAAAATTGTAGAAATTACAGAGACTCTGCAATTCCAAAAAAAAAAAGACTGTTATAGTTTTTTTTTTTCAGAATGTGCTTCATAAAAATTGATCAAATCTGCCTGTAAAAACTACCGAACAATCTAATAGAACGCCACCCGAATCGTCCAATTTGAGCCCATGTATCTCATCTTCTGTGAGATATATCAAAAAGTGGTCAACAGATAAAATGTTGCTGATATCATGATAATCATTTTATTAGTTGACAACTTTTTGATATCTTTCAAAAGAAGTGAGATATAGAGATTCAAAGTGGACGGTCCGGTGGCGTTCTTTTAGAATGTTCCTTAAAAGAGTCTCTAGAAAAACCACGAGCCAAATCCAAGCTCGCAATCACTCAAAACTAAATTTCAAACTGTGCGCGCGCCGAGCGGGATAGCGGAGTGTCGTTGCGTGGGTAGAGGGAACCTTTAGAAGGGGTTGGAGGGTAGCTGCCCCGGGGGCAACTAATAGATTGAATCGCGCCGAAGGCGCACCAGCTGGTGTTAAAGCTAATTTCAAAAGTTCAAAATCTTGAACTGATAAAAGATCAAAAAAACGATTTTCGTAAAATTCGTCATAATGACTGTTTCCGTATCAAGGTGTGCTCTTTTTCTATGACTGCTCATATGGACTCTCTCTCTCTCTCTCTCTCTCTCTCTCTCTCTCTCTCTCTCTTTCTATCTGCGTCTCTTGTCTCTGGTTTTATCGAAAATTTCAAATATTTACTTTTCTACCTGTTTCTAGCTCTCACCATTTGATTGTCTGTTTTCTGAATGCCCAGGTTTTCAGTACTGAAATTTTCAAATTTAAAACTTCAATCGATTTTCTGGAAATTTCTGTCTGAAAATTTTGATTTTTTGGTTCATTTTTAGTATAATTCATATTTTTCTCTATAATTTCAGATAATGGAAATCCCCACTTCATCTTCAGACCTTGATTATTTTAATGTCAATTGCAAAATTTGTTTAAAAACCGGACATGGTCTTCATTTTGGAATTGAAACTTGCCGGGCGTGTGCTGCGTTTTTCAGGTAACTGACTTTGTTTTTAATTAGGATATTAATTGACTAATTAACAAAAAAATGATATAATTCTTTTTAGGTAATTAATATTGGGGCTATTTAGCCAATTAAATTCTCAGAAATAAAGGAAAACTTTCAGACGTACAGTAGTCCTGAATCGAAAATACAAATGCAGTCGAAGGACTGGAAAATGTGAAATCGGGTCGGATGAGGAGAAATTGATGTGTAAATTTTGTCGATTCAAGAAATGTATCGATTTGGGAATGACTACGGAAAGTGAGTTTTTTTTCGAGATTCCGAAATACTGAAATTCCAGAAATTATGGAAAAAAGCAATTTTGAGAACTAAAACTCTTCAAATTTCATATTTTTTCAAATTTAAAATTTTTTGATTTTCGGATAAGTTTAGAAATTCCCACAGTTAGAAGTTTTGAAAATTCTGAGATTTTGAAATTTTAGATGTTTTCAGAGATTTTAGATGTTTTCAGAAATTCAGAAATTCAGAAATTCAGAAATTCAGAAATTCAGAAATTCAGAAATTCAGAAATTCAGAAATTCAGAAATTCAGAAATTCAGAAATTCAGAAATTCAGAAATTCAGAAATTCAGAAATTCAGAAATTCAGAAATTCAGAAATTCAGAAATTCAGAAATTCAGAAATTCAGAAATTCAGAAATTCAGAAATTCAGAAATTCAGAAATTCAGAAATTCAGAAATTCAGAAATTCAGAAATTCAGAAATTCAGAAATTCAGAAATTCAGAAATTCAGAAATTCAGAAATTCAGAAATTCAGAAATTCAGAAATTTAGAAAAAAATTAAACGTCTTTCTCTATTTCCCATTTCCAGATGTCCGCACCGACATTGCCGTAAAGGACAATGAGCCTTCAGCAGATTCCCCATCCTCCAGTTCCACGTCATCTTCAGACGTCGTTGTTCTCCAGATGACGTCAACGCAGCCAATAGCAGAAGTTGGGAATCGAGTCGAATATTCAGTGATAAATCCAAAAACTCGAGCGCCAGCAATGTTAATAGATGTGAATGCAATAATTAAAAAGTCCAGGGCAATTTTGGAAACGGTAAGGGGACTTGTTTTAAATTCTGAAAGCCAAATATTCTCAATTTAAAGAAAAAATTCAAAAAAATAGGATTTTTTCAAATAGTCATAACTTTGTCAGTTTTCAAAATATGCTATTGATTTTAGCACCAAATTGAAGATAATTTTCCAACGTTACCAAAAATATACAATTCACTACAAAACAGTTTGCAGTCAATATTGTGGAGCGCATCTACAACATGTCACCCTTCCAAACCCAATAATTTTTTTTCAGTACTACCTCCCGAATGAAGACTCAATTTCCCACCTAAACCCCCTTCAACGAATGGTCCACTCGCTTCAAAAAATTCGATCCAAACAAAATTGGAATCCAGAATTTTTTGTTCATGTTAAATTCCATGAAATGTTCTCCTGGTGGGAGGTACAGATGAGAGACACCGCCACGTGGCTAATGCATTCTGATGAGTTTCGAAAGTTGCCGACGCATGAGAGGGTGAGCTTCTGGAGTGTTTGTACTTTTTGGAATCCTCAGGTTTTGCTAATTCTGAAAATCTAAATTTTGTCTGAAAATGTCGAAAATGAAGCAAGTTATAGAAGAAAACTAGAAGTTTTTGAAATTTTTAAATAGGATTTTTTTCAAAACCTCGTAACTCTGCTAATTTTCTTCCTATTTCCATCGTTTTTACATTAAAATATTTCAAATTTTCCGTATTTTTTAATAATTTAAAATTCCCAAAATTTCCTATTCTATTTCAGATAGCAATATTTAAAATAGTCTGGGCAGTGTGGCGGCGATTCGAGAGGTACACCATGACAGCGACGATCTTTGGTCATAGGTGTTACGATGAGAAGGTAGGATAGATTTTGAATTTTTGTCTGGAAATCCCAAAAAATTTCAGATTCTCCTACATTCTCATGAAGCAGCAGCCAAATTTGGCAACTACCAAGTCGACTATTCAAATGTTTCCGATCATGGGTTTGAGAGATTTAATAAGTGAGTTTTGAAGCTTTAAATTGCGAAAATTGGGTTCAAAAAGGTCTAGAACCATGTCGAGAAATTAAAAAAAAAGATCTAAAACTTTCTTAGTTAGAACCTTCCTTAGTGAGGATATTTCTAACTGAGAACCCTCCTTAGTGAGAATCTTCCTTAGTTAAAACCCTCCGTAGTAAGCATTTTTCTTAGTGCGGATGTTTCTTAGTGAGAATATTTCTTACTAAGAATACTTCTCAGTGAGGATCATATCCTTATTGTAGAATCTTTCTTAATGAGAACCTTTCTTATTGAGAATCTATCTTAGTGAGGCTTTTTCTTATTGAGGATAATTCTTAATGAGAATCTCTCTTAGTGAGGACTTTTCTCAATAAGTATAAAAAAACTTTTAACCCTAAAACCAGCTTATAATTCCAAATATCTTTGAAAACAATTTCATTTTTTGTGTATTCGGTGGAAAAATGATTCAATACTACGAGATCATCGTCAAGCCCTTTCTGGATCTGAAACTGTCTGAAACTGAAATCACATTCATTTTGTGTCAAATCGTCTGGAACTATGCTGGGCGACGTCTTCAGGGACAAACTCAAGCTGCTGGAGAGCGATTTTTAGAAGAAATCTCCAATAATTTACATTCCTATTATGAAGAAAATTCTGGAGATCATCAATTTGGAGGAATAGAAAGTTCTGGAAATGGTACGGTAGCTGAGAAAAATGACAAAGGAAATTATGCGTCTAGGCTGGCCAAGATGATGCAGATCGTAAATCAGATGTTGGTGTGTGATCAATATTTGTATTTAAAAATTAAAAAATCGATTTTTTTTAAATAAAAATAATTCCAGAACATTCAGCTAAAACGAGAGGACACTATGGACATTGCAATGCTGTTCGATATGTTTAATATTGTTTTTACAGAACCCGAGTTTTTCAAAGTTTGATTTAATCTGTGTTGTACTGAAAATAAATAAAAATGTTACAACATTTTGTAGCTCTTAAAATTACCTATCGATCTAGCTAATTTTCAAAGTTCTAGCTCTATTTTGAGCAGAAATATGGGTCTTCGATGCTGGAAATCATTTTTCTCAACATTTTCGGATATTAACTATACCAAATACTATAGCGTTTTGTAGCTCTCAAAGTTGCCTGTCGATCTAGCTGATTTTTAATGTTTTAGCTTTCTTTTGAGGTGAGTTATGCGTCTCCAAAGCTGGAAACAATTTTTATCCCCTTCTGCGGGTCTCAACTATATGAATGTTATATCATTTTGTAGCTCTCAAAGTTGCCTGTCGATCTAGCTGTTTTTCAAAATTCTAGCTCTATTTTGAAATGAGTTATGGGTCTCCGACGTTGGAAGTGATTTTTTCTCAGCTTTTACTAATTTTAACTTTATGAATGTTATATCATTTTGTAGCTCTTAAAATTACCTACCGAACTTGCTATTTTTCAAAGTTCTAGCTTTATTTTGAAATGAGTTATGGGTCTCGGAAGTTGGAAGGGCTTTTGCTCAACTTTTGCAAATCTTAACTTCATGAATGTTATATCGTTTTGTAGTTTTTAAAATTACCTATTGATCTAGCTAACTTTCAAACCTCTAGCACTGTTATGAGCTGAATTACGGGTTTGTAGAAGTGGACTAGCCAAGATTCCACTATAATATTGGACATCGCGACACACAGACACACAGAAATAGAATCCTCCTTCTCTGGACTATCGCTCACTCTTATTTTCCTATTCTACTGGTCTTAGAGCTCCGGGAGGGACGTACCAGCTGTCACCAACATTTCCTAAAGTGGGGTCCCCCCCCCCTCTCTCTCCATCTTGTTGCTTTTCTTTGGACCCCCATTCCCATCTGTCTAGCACTCTCTCAAATTTATGTGCTCTCTAGGGAGAAGTCAGTGCCATCTGCTGGTCTGAATGGAAGACAGAGAGAGAGAGAGAGAGAGAGAGAGAGAGAGAGAGAGAGAGAGAGAGAGAGAGAGAGAGAAAGAGAGAGAGAGAGAGAGAGAAAGAGAGAGAGAGAGAGAGAGAAAGAGACACGAGAGCATTCACACAGGATTCTATTTGTGCTCTTCTCGCAGAAGAGAAAGTCTTCTTCCCTTTTCATTGATTTTCTTGTTTCTTCCATTTTTCCTGGTATTTGTATTAGGTTGGCGGGAAAGTCTTTGTCACTTTTTCAATAGTTTATTTCTCAAAGAAAAAATAACCGAATAATTAATTATATTGTCCATCATTATCAACAACATGTCTCCAACGTTCCCTCAATTTATGGATTCCATTGCGGTAGAATCCAGCCGGGCGTGAGGCAAAGTATTGTTTGAGTGCCGCTTCGACCGCTCCACGGGAATTGAAGCTTCTTCCTTCGAAGGCACGTGTCATATCGCCAAATAACCAATAGTCGGAAGGAGCAAGATCAGGAGAATACGGGGGGTGAGGGAGAACATTCCATCCATATCCCATCAGCTCCTGCTTCACTTGTTTCGAAACATGTGGGCGAGCGTTATCATGTTGATAGTACACTTTCTTGTCTTTCAGGGCCGAACGGTCGACTGCTTTCTTGAGGTTTCGTAGTTGAGTAGTGTAGAGGCCTCCAGTTATTGTTTTGCCTCGGGCAGAAGTTCCCAGTAGATGGGGCCGTCCACTCCCCACCACACAGAGAGCATAACTTTTTTCGGATGAAGGTCGGGTTTGGGGACATCCTGTGGGCTCTCTCCTTCTCCAACCCACTGGGATTTCCTGTGGTGATTATCGTAGAAGACCCACTTCTCATCTCCGGTTATTAGCCGGTCCAGCCATCGATCGCCCGCGTGGAGAGTGAGAAGAGTAATCGAATCGTCGACTCGGCGGTCAAGGTTGGCTTGAGTCAGGTGATGAGGTATGAATCGACCAAAAAGTTTTCTCATTCCAAGAGACTTCAAACCTTCAAGGACTGTGCTATGGTGAACTCCGAATGTGACAGCTAGTTCACGGCTAGATTGAAATGGATCCGATTGCAATGCGTGCTTCAGCTTGTCCAAATCCAACTCACGGGGTCTCCCAGAGCGATCCTTTTCATCGAGCGAGAAGTCATCTTTTTCGAAACGATGGAACCAATTGCGAATAGTATTGTAGTGAGGGGCATGTGTGTTGTACACATTCTTCAAGAAAGTTTCCGAATCCTTCATCGTGGTGTGAGATAGGAAGAGGTAAATCAAAACATGTCTGATGTGAATAGCAGTGGGAACAAACATATCGTTTCAATTACAGATGAGGAGCAGGGAAGGAGATGGGGACTTGTTTATATGGAAGGTTCTTATCACCTTGTTATTCACTAGAGTCGATATCATACACAGCCTCCATATACGAGAACAGTGATTAAACAAACAGAGTGACAAAGACTTTCCCGCCAACCTAATATATCTGGAATTTCAGATTTTCTCAATTTCCCCGGTATTTTAATAATTTCTCTTCTCATTCAACTCCTTCCAGCAATGACTAGAGCCTCCAAGAACACGAAACCCGCTGCAATTGAGCTAGAAGAGGATCTAGATGACGTGATGCCAGAATTAGTTGAAGAAGAAGACGTCATCGTCCTCTCCGAGGATAATAACACGATTTCTGAAGATGGTGAAGAGGAGGAAGAAGAGGAAGATCTGAAGCTTGCTCCGGATAGTACGGTGGAAGTTCCAAAGAAGAAAATTAATGAAAAAATCAATGAGGAAGATTATCGGAAGAAGGAGAAGGCAGAGTTATTGGCAGTGCTTGATAGATGTGGAAAATGTAAGTTTGAGCTAAGAAATAAGCTGAAAATGAGCCAAAATGTGCTCAAAAAATTTTTAAATCTTAGTGAGAAACTTTCTTAGTGAGGATATTCCTTAATGAGAACCTTTCTAAATGAGGATCTTGCCTAGTGAGAATGTTTCTTAGTGAGGATATTTGTTAGTGAGAATCTTGTCTAGAGAGAAGCTTTCTTAATAAAAAACTTTCTTAGTGAGAATCTCTCTTTGTGAGGACTTTTCTCAATAAGTATTTTAGACTTTTAACCATAACATGAATTTTAAGAAATCCAAAAATCCTATAAAAGTTCATATTTCAGTGGGCGGTCCGAACTTTGACGCTGATCAAGAACGAGTGCTCAGGGAGCTCACCAAACAAAAAGAGACTATCAAACGACTGTTGGACGAGATGAGAGAGTCGAAAAAGAGACAGAAGACCTATAATATTCAGACAATTTTCAAACGAAAACAGAAATCGAAATAATTGATTGAATTTTTTTTAAATTTTAATATAAATTTCTAAATTCAAAGAATAAAGATTTTTATTTGAAATTTTTTTGTTCTTCATAGTTGTTCGGGAATTTCCAATTTTTAGAATTTCAAATATTGCATCATTTGGAACAATTTAAAAACCAATCTAGCCAAAACTCCAGCGTTTCAGAAATTCAGAAATTCAGAAATTTAAAAATTCAGAATTTCAGAACTTCAGAATTTCAAAAATTCAGAAATTCAGAAATTCAGAAAAAAAAATTTAGAAATTCAGAATTTCAAAAATTCAGAAATTCAGAAATTCAGAAATTCAGAAATTCAGAAAAAAAAATTTAGAAATTCAGAATTTCAGAAATTCAGAATTTCAAAAATTCAGAAATTCAGAAATTCAGAAATTCAGAAATTCAGAAATTCAGAAATTCAGAATTTCAAAAATTCAGAATTTCAGAAATTCAGAATTTCAGAATTTCAGAATTTCAGAAATTTAGAAATTCAGAAATTCAGAATTTCAGAATTTCAAAAATTCGGAAATTCAGAAATTCAGAAATTCAGAAATTCAGAAATTCAGAAATTCAAAAACTCAGAAATTCAGAAATTCAGAATTTCAGAAATTCAGAATTTCAAAAATTCAGAATTTCAAAAATTCAGAATTTCAGAATTTCAACGTTCCGATGTTTGATCTTTCAGTCCCTTCTGAAATTCTCCCTCCTTCTCTAATTAGATTCTTCTACTGGTCACCTAGAAAACTTCCTTCTCTCTTTTGTGTTGCCCAAATGGCCATCACCACCGTCTTCTTCATCATGGTTCTCGAAGGTTACATTACACAGTTCTTCTTTCTCTCTGCGTCTCTCCTCTTGACTACTCTCTCGCTAGTTTTCAAATTCTCAAGGACGGTATAGAGGGGTCAGATCGGTATGAATGTCAGTTTAACCTTTGCCATCATTTGCCGAAAATTTTGAATTCGAAGAGATTTTTTTCGTTGTAAAGTTTCGGTCAGTTTCCTTTGTTCTAGAGACGAAAAACCTTGAAATTTGCTGCTAGAATTAGAATCTTCATGATTTAGAACCTTTTTTTCGTATCAGAATTCCAAATTCTCATTTATAGGTAGTCCAATTTAAGTGTATTTATTTACTTAATAAAAAAAAGAACATACCAAAGATTTTGGTTTTTTGAATTCAGATCAGCAAGATAAAAGGTACCATAAACACTCTCATAGAACGCCACCCGGACCGTCCACCTTGAATCTCTATATCTCACTTCTTTTGAAAGATATCAAAAAGTTGTTAACTGATAAAATGTTTATTATGATATCAGCCACATTTCATCAGTTGGCGACTTTTTGATATCTCTCACAGAAAATGAGATACATGGACTCAAGTTTGACGATTCGGGTGATTTTATATTTTTGGAGTTTTTCAACATTTCTGACTAGTTTGTTTCACTATAACCCATTTATATACATCCCGTATAATGTATATAAATGGAAAAGTTACAAAATAAAATAAAATGAATAAATATAACCTCATACATGTTTCTATTTCAACCGGTTTATTTCATATTCAACTTTATTCAAAACTAAAAAAACACCTCTATTTTCTATGTTTTCACTTTTTCGAATAGTAGAGTTTCTGGATTTTTTGAAAAATTTGAAATTTAAAAATCCCCATATTCAAATTTCGAAAAAACGATAATTTTGTGACAGTGTCGATGCACCATGTCGTGAGGTTCCAATTCTACGTTTTTGGTTGGAAATGGATCATTTTGACCTCAAAAAAGGCAAATTCCGGAATTTTTGTTGTAAAAAATTGTGTTTTTCAGTAACTCTCGATCTAAAATATGTCTTTTTGGGTCAAAAAAGACGAAAAGGTTTTTTTTGGGGAAAAAATTAAGACAACTTTTTTATTTTGGCTCCTAACTTTGGTCAAAATCATCCATTCTCAAATTAGAGTACATTTTTGGAAACTCCAGATTTTTTACTTTAAAATTCTATAATTTTTAAACTATATTGTATTTCTCAGTCCCAACAGGTCCTTGTTCTCATCAGATTATCCACGTTTCTGCCAAAATTTGACCATTTTCAAATTTAGGCTCATAACTTTGCTCAAAATCATCCGATTTCAAATTTCAACCCATTTTTGGAATCTCCAGGTTCTGGGCTTCAACACATTTTAATAATTTATCAACTAAATTTCTATCTCCAGATTCTGGGCTTCAAAATAGTATAAAAATCTTCCAACTAGATTTTCATTTTTCAGTCTCAATGAGTCAGTTTTTAGTAAACTCACTAATTTTCTTGCTAAAAATTGATCATTTGCATATTTTAGCTCCTAACTCTGCTCAAAATCATCCATTTTCAGATTACAAAACATTTTCGAAATCTCCAGATTCTCGCCTTTTAGGAAAACTTTAATTCTGTAAATCAGAGAAAATTCCAGCCCAAATTAATCGTTTTTTCATCAGATGCCCATTTTCTCATCAAAATATGACTACTCATACGTTTTGGCTCTTAAATTTTCTCAAAATTATCCGATTTCAAATTTCACAACATTTTTGGAATCACCAGACTCTCGGCTTCAAAACAATGTCAAATTTATTGAGTTAGCATTTTATTTTCCAGTCCCAATAGGTCATTTTTTAGTAATCTCACTAATTTTCTTGCTAAAAATTGATCATTTGCATATTTTAGCTCCTAACTCTGCTCAAAATCATTCATTTTCAAATTTCTAAACATTTTTGGAATTTCCAGATTCTGGGTTTCAAAATAATATAGAAATCTATTAACTAGAATACTATTTTCCAGTCCTAACAGATCATTATTTTCCGTATCTACTATCCACATGATCGAAATCGTATCAAAATCTATTGATTCTCGTTTTTTCCTGTCATTGCATTTCACTCCTTTCCAAATAATTCTCGAGACCTTGTTTTTTCTCTAGTCTCTCTCTCTCTCTCTCTCTCTCTCTCTCTCTCTTTTTTTTTTTTTTTTACCTAACTTACAATACATACACACGATATAACTTGTTTCCTGCCTCTTCTTAAATTCTCGCCCATTTTGAAAAAACGAGGGAAGGAAATTTTCGAAATTTCTTGAAGACCTAGAAGACGTCGTCAAGACTGAGAGAGAGAGAGAGAGAGTGAGAGAGAGAGAGAGAGAGAGAGAGAGAGAGAGAGAGAGAGAGAGGAATGACAACAAACATTGTAACACTTTTCGAAGAAGCATTCTTTCTCTCTGAAAATTTCAGACACCTTTTTTTTGGTTTTTTTGGAAAATGGAAAAACATGACGACGTTTTTCTTGTTTCTTGGTAATGATTTTAGGTGTGTTGTAAGAAATTTTGAAATAGAAAAAAACCAGTGATCAGTGTTTATTGGAATTTTCTGGAATTTCGAAAACTTCCAGATTCTTTTTTATCGAATTCTCAAAAATTCCTGATTGTTTTGGTCCTAATTTTGTAGTTTTCAAGTCATTTTTTTTTAAATTTTTATCCTTAAAAATTGCTCATTTTTGGGTTATTTCAGCTAGTTTCAGTTTTTTAGAATTCCCAGAGTACCGTAAACACTCTAATAGAACGCCACCGGACCGTCCATTTTGAGCCTATATATCTCACTCATTTTGCAAGATATCTAAAAGTTGTCAACTGATAAAATGTTGCTGATATCATGATAAGCATTTCGTTTGTTGACCACTTTTTGATGTCTATAACAGAACATGAGATACACGGGCTCAAATTTGACAATTCGGTCGACGTTCTTTTAGAGTGTTTACTGTATTTTTCCCAATTTTTTTTTAATTCTGGAAGTTGCTTATTTTCAGATAATCATCTTAAATTTTCTTTCTGAGTTTTCGAATTTTGGGGATTTTGGCTTTCAACTTTTCAGTTGTTCGTGATTTTTGAGCTAATTTTCGTAATCTCTCGGTTAGTTTTTAAAAAAATTCCTTGATAAATTTTATTTTTCAGAATTTTTTTCTTATTTTCTAACCGTTTTTTCTACTTTTCTTCCAATTATCTCATTCATATTCTCAATTTTAATTATCATTCTTGAATGAAGATCTCAAACTTCCAGAGCCAAATGCAAGCGTTATGGCCGTACAACAGCAATGCAAACGGAGGGAATCTACCAAATTATAGGCATATCACATGGGATAGGTACTATGTTAACGAACACTATGATAGTGAGTTTTGCAATTCAAAAATTTGGATTTTTGGTTTAGACGATTTTTTGGGATTTTTCAACAAAAAATTTTTGGCTTAAAATATTTTTTTTCCAAAAACACATTTTTCTAGATTTATTTTTTTCTGTTTTTTCCAAATTTTTCAATCATTTTTTTGACTAAAATTCACTAAATTCTCAGTTTCAGAGCATGTAAATGTGAGTAGTGGAGTCGCTGCCGGTGTCACTATTGGAATATTCTTCATAGTTTTTGTGCTCACTTTTGGATGTCGAATCTACAGTCAATATGTTGATAGGGGTAATGGATCGAGTAGTACGCAGAATGGAGGTGAGGATTTTGAGTTTTTCTAGAGAAAAAATGAGAAATGTTGAGTCAAAAATCGAGAAAAATAGTCAAAAACTGACTGAAAAAGCGTCAAAAAACGACAAATACTAGACTTCAGACAACCGGATATCTGGATGAAAATTCAGAAATTCAGAAATTCGGAAATTCAGAAATTCCAAAATTCCGAAATTTAGAAATTAAGAGATTCAGAAATTCAGAAATTCAGAAATTCAGAAATTCAGAAATTCAAAAATTCAGAAATTCAGAAATTCAGAAATTCGGAAATTCAGAAATTCCAAAATTCCGAAATTTAGAAATTAAGAGATTCAGAAATTCAGAAATTCAGAAATTCAGAAATTCAAAAATTCAGAAATTCAGAAATTCAGAAATTCGGAAATTCAGAAATTCCAAAATTCCGAAATTTAGAAATTAAGAGATTCAGAAATTCAGAAATTCAGAAATTCAGAAATTCAAAAATTCAGAAATTCAGAAATTCAGAAATTCGGAAATTCAGAAATTCCAAAATTCAGAAATTCGGAAATTCAGAAATTCAGAAATTCAGAAATTCAGAAATTCAGAAATTCAAAAATTCAGAAATTCAGAAATTCAGAAATTCGGAAATTCAGAAATTCCAAAATTCCGAAATTTAGAAATTAAGAGATTCAGAAATTCAGAAATTCAGAAATTCAGAAATTCAAAAATTCAGAAATTCAGAAATTCAGAAATTCAGAAATTCAGAAATTCAGAAATTCAGAAATTCAGAAATTCCAAAATTCCGAAATTTAGAAATTAAGAGATTCAGAAATTAAGAGATTCAGAAATTCTTAAGAGATTCAGAAATTCAGAAATTCAGAAATTCAGAAATTCAGAAATTCAGAAATTCAGAAATTCAGAAATTCCAAAATTCAGAAATTCAGAAATTCGGAAATTCAGAAATTCAGAAATTCAAAAATTCAGAAATTCAGAAATTCAGAAATTCGGAAATTCAGAAATTCCAAAATTCCGAAATTTAGAAATTAAGAGATTCAGAAATTCAGAAATTCAGAAATTCAGAAATTCAAAAATTCAGAAATTCAGAAATTCAGAAATTCGGAAATTCAGAAATTCCAAAATTCCGAAATTTAGAAATTAAGAGATTCAGAAATTCAGAAATTCAGAAATTCAGAAATTCAAAAATTCAGAAATTCAGAAATTCAGAAATTCGGAAATTCAGAAATTCCAAAATTCAGAAATTCGGAAATTCAGAAATTCAGAAATTCAGAAATTCAGAAATTCAGAAATTCGGAAATTCAGAAATTCCAAAATTCCGAAATTTAGAAATTAAGAGATTCAGAAATTCAGAAATTCAGAAATTCAGAAATTCAAAAATTCAGAAATTCAGAAATTCAGAAATTCAGAAATTCGG